CAGTGGTGATCAGCCTAAGAACCTAAGAACCAGGTAGGATCTGCAGGGAGCTTAGCACGATGCTGGCTGGCCGCGGTGGGCACGGCACCACGGCCCGTTAGCTAAGTGAGCACACACGGGGCGTCTGTGGGGTGGCGAGAGTGGAGAGGGCAGAATAACGCAGCAGACGTGAAGTGATGGGGCAGCAACGAGCCGGAGCGCCCGGACGGGGCCGGGAGCGGGGCCAGCGGAACTGACATGAGTAATGCGAGTGAGCTGGACCAGAAAGGCTTCCGGGAGGAGGCGGCGGGTCTGAGCTGGCCGCACGCTGACCCACCCGGGCATGTTTTCGGAGTCCCGAGGAATTGTTCTCAGAAGGCGAGGCCTCGGAGAGCCCTGGGATGGAAACAACAGCCGTGGGTTCTGCGGGGGGAAATCCCCCAGACAGAGCTGCATGCCTTGGCCGCGCTCCAGACCGTGGGGCCGGCGGTTGCCATGCCCGCGGAGTCTGCCCGGCCAGCTGCAGCGCGCAGGCCTCTGCTGGGGATTCTGACCTCATGGAGGGGAGGAAATGACAGTGGCCCCGGCTCCCACCCACCATCGCTCCGTTATAACCTCCCCGGGCACATCTCTCCCGGGATAATTACACCCAAAGTCCCTTTTAGGGCCTTAGGGCCTCTACCTGTGTGGCGATCCCCCCACCGGAGACTCCAATGGGGCACAGAGCCAGCGGGGAGCGGCATGGGTGGCCGGGTGGCCGTTGGCGCTCACAATAGCCCTGACTCATGAGCGGCTCACTTCTTCCATGCTCCTTCCCCTCCCGCTGTCTGTGAGTCAACGGCATTTATTTAGCACCTCGGAGGACGGAGACCTGCAGTGGGCAGCTGCCCTGGGCAGGGGTGGCTAGGACCCAGGAGAGCAGCCTCCGCTGCCCAGCACCAGCCCCTCGTCAGCCAGCCAGCCAGCCAGCCAGCCGGGGGCAGCCCCAGGGGTGACTGTGCATTCTGTGGGGAGAAACCACACCTGCCACCTCAGAGCTCTCTCATGCCCTCGGTGAGAGCGAGGGTTGAATTCGAGGAATGCGCCCTGTCTCTGGGCTGCCATGGGAACCACCTCTCCAGGCCTCCATGTTCTCATCTGAGAAATGGGGGTGATATGATCAGGGCCCCCCCCCCTCCTCCAAAATCTTCCCTGAGACTGCAGATGGGAGCCATGGCCCCCAGGGGACAAGTAACAATGTGTGGAGATATTTGGGAGAGGGTGGTGTTGCCCACAGGTCCACGGTGCCCAGGTGGAGAAGCCACCTCCTCACCCCACCCACATCATGATTTTGGAAGAGAGAGAGCCCCGTCCAAGAACCCCTGAGCACCGCTGCTCGGCGAGTCAGAGGGCCTGGTCTGCCCTGCTTTGCAGAGCCTGCCAGTCACCTTCTCACTACGCTGCAGACGGGGAGTGCTCAGACTCGGGCGTACATTGCTAGGCAGAGAGCAAGGTGCCTCTTCTTGTGGGCAGCCAAGGAGGTGACACTGATGTGGAAATAAACACTGTTGGAAGGGTGCCCTTCGGAGCCGCCACCTCCCCCGATGCCCACTCGGCCTTCTCCTGGGTCCCTTGTCACTGTGTGCCTGGACTCCTAGGTATTAAAATGTCAGCAAAATGCCCTGGCTGGTTTGGCTCAGTGGATAGAGTGCCGGCCTGCAGACTGAGGGATCTCGGGTTCTATTCCAGTCAAGGGCACATGCGCGGGTTGAGCGTTTGATCCCTAGAAGGGGGGCATTGCAGGAGGCAGCCGATCCGTGATTCTCTCTCATCATGGATGTTTCTATCTCTCTCCCTCTCCCTTCCTTGCTCTGAAATCAACAAAAGTGATTTTGGATTGTGTGTGTGTGTGTGTGTGTGTGTGTGTGTGTGTTTATATCAGCAAAGACATAATAAGCACCTGATGGTGGGTGACAGACCAGGCTGAGCTGTGACGCCTAGACCTTCCCATCATCAAATGTACCGTGTGGGCTAATGATTCCGCTTTTTACTAATTCCTGAGCCGGGAATTAACCCTTCTGGAGATGCCTCTGTGTGTGAAATCCCTTGTCCTCGGGGCCTTGAGGGCAGCTGAAGTCCTTTCATTCTTTCAACCCCCAAATGCCCCCGCGGCTCTCCCTTTGAAAGCCTGGAATCCGCGGGCCATGCGGGCCATGCCCCGAAGTGACCATGACCTCCCGGGCAGAGGGGTCCGGTGCTGGCCGGGCCTTGTTCTGCTGCAGGGGGGCTGTCCCCTGTCCCCATGATGGATGCTGTCTTGGATTTTTAATCCGGAGAACCACTGAGCCAAAACGCAGGAAATGCAACCGTTTATCCAGAGGGCCTGTTTGTAAGCAATTAGTAACCCAAAGGAGAGACAGAATCCCAAGGAGGCGGCCCACAAGGCAGCCAAAATCACCGCCGAGGCACGGGCCCTTCAGAGTTCTCTCACTCAGAAGATGTCTCCACAGGGAGAATCCCGTTACCCCTCCCTACTTTTACTTTGTGTTGGTCCTTGACATCTCGCGATCCAAGAATCCCCAGGCCTCTGACGTCCTTGCTGGCCATCCACTCACCAGCCCTGCACAGAGACCCTGCCTCTCCCCACAGCGTGTGGAAGCATTTCCACACTGTCCACCTGGGGCGACCGGGGAGGGGGCAGAGCAGGGGCACCTACAGGGATGTGGCCAGAAAAGGACGCTCCGCAGCAAGCAGGCCTCTGGAGCATCTGGCTAAGGCATACGCCACAGTCCCAGGAGGGCCCCAGGGGACACTGTGCCCGGAGGAAGTGTGGGGCTGCCGTGCCTGAGAGATTGTCCCCCGGTTTGCAGCCCCCAATAGAGCTCAGCATCCTCTCGGGTCGGAAGCCAAGGGTCATTTCCCAAACTCTGGGAATGCCCAATGTCCCCAAAATGGAGGACTCACAAATGGACTCTTTGTCACAAATTACACCTCGTAAACTTCTCTGCAGGACCCTTTGTACTTGGAAATAAATTTAGAAAGATGACATTACACAATCTTGGTTGTTTACTAACAAGGATAAGAGAACGAAGTTACATAACCGCGCGTGCATGTGCGTGTGTGTGTGTGTGTGTGTGTGTGTGTGTGTGTGTATGTATTATTATTCTTCCCAGCTTTTAAAAAACGTGAACTTTTAGGCGAGGCAGAAAGCGTGGAGAGCTGTTTCCGGCGGGGACTTGGCCAGCCCAATGCACTTCTCCAAACCTGTTATCCCTGTCCAAGGTGCAGACAAAGGGTCCTTTGGGGCCACTTAGCACCCGTTGGCAAGGCCGGCTCAAGGGCAAAATAACCTCCCTCCCTGCACCTCTCCAGGCTCAAGAAGCTCACAAACTTGAGCCTGTCTGGGAGGGATGATGCGTGGGGAAGGGGAGGCGGTAACAATGCCGACCAACACCCAGCCTCCCCCAGCGCCTGGCACCGAGCTGAAGCTTTGCATACCCGGAGGCAGGCTCACAGGAGAAGACGGAGCCTCTGGGGGGTGAAGGAGGCTCACGCAAGGTCATCGAGCTGGGAAGTGCCAACCCTGGAACCAGACTCACCCCATTCCCCCCTCCCCATCCTGGCCGATTCCAGAACCGGGGCATGCTGTTGACACCATGACCTTGGAGGGCAGCTTGTAGAACCACTTCTGCAGGCCATTCATCAAGCAATTGATTGTCACTGCACTGCACGAGGCCTTTCCTCCAGGGAAGGGAGTGAAGAGAGGAAGTGCTGTAGCTGAGGTGCAGGTTCCTGGGTCTGTGCTTGCGCAAGGGGCAATCCAGGGCAGCTCCCTAGAGGAGGTGGCGCTGGCGCTTTCATTGGAGACCTGACAGGATGGGAAGAGGCCAAGGAAGGGAGGCAGTTCTCCCTGGGCTGGGCTGCCAGTGTGGCCCCTGGGAACTAAACTGGGTGTGGCTACCCCTGGAGACCGGGCGAGGGCAGAGGATTAAAAAGCTGTCCTGGGGAGCCCCTGCTGTGCGCCAGGCGCCTGCGGTCCTGGGGGGAGCACAGTCAAAGTCACTGTCCCTCTCTCCTCCCCTCCCGCCCCCTCAGGGAGTCAGTAGAGAGTCATGCAAGGAGTGTAGACTACTAGGCATGAACTCTACCCCCTTCCCTGGCCCTCAAGCCCCCCAATCCCCTTCTGCAAAACGAGGACCAGGCTGCGGCATCAGTGAGATAGATGGGCGATAGGATGGCCTCTGTTGGTGCCTGATGGCAGAATGCTAAGCATTCCACACCCAGGAGCTGCGGGTAACAGCAGGGGGATTCCAGAGAGACGTTTTTACCCTGGGGGAGATATGCACGGAGCCAGGGCCTGGGGAGGGCAGAGGGCGGGCCTGCGGAAAGCAGGGGAGGCTCCCCGGAGGAGGCTCCCGAGGAGGTGAGACTGAGTGACGGCAGGAGTCCGCCAGCTGAGCGGAGGGGGAAGAGGCAGAGAGCACACATTCCTGACTTCACTCTCCGGAGAAGCGGCTCTGTCCTGCGAGGCCACCAGGCAGCACAGGCGTGCGACTTTTGGAGACTTTTTATTCAAGGTGGGGGCGCCGGGAGTTCCCTCCCCACTAGGAAACCTTGGACACCTTCTCAGAAAAAAAAAAAGTCCAAGGGGCACTCTCTCCGGATAAAAATAAAAAAAACTTGGAGGGGCCGCAGGAACGCAATACTTTCTTCCTGTGTTTAAGTTTCTACGGAAAATCTGACCGGCGGCCGCCGCCCCTGCGCGGAGCGGGCGCGGGGCGCTTCTGTCTCCCTTTAGGCGAAGGCGGCCGGGGCGGGGCGGGCGCGGCCGGGCCGGGTGGGCGCACGGGGCGCGGAGCCGCCGGCGCCGGGGGTGGCGGGCGGCGGGCGGCGGGCGGCGGGCGGAGCGGGAGGCCCGGCCCCCTTGGGGCGAGGAGCGCGCCCGCCGCGAACGCTGCCTGCCGTGTCCGCTTGCAGAGGCCGCCGGGGCCGTGGAGGGGCAGGGCGCGCCGCCCGGCGGTCCCGGCGCACCGGCAGCGGACATGAGGGTCCACGAGAAGTACTCGTCCATCCCGGCCGAGGACCGCAGCGTCCACATCGTCAACATCTGCGCCATCGAGGAGGCCGGCTACCTGCCGTCCGAGGGCACGGTGAGTGCGGGCGCCGCGAGCGGCCGGCCGGCCGGGGGAGGGCCGCGCACCTGCGCCGCGCCAGCCAGGGGCGGGCAGCACCCACCGGGAGGCGCGCTGCGCCGCGCGGGGCCCCGGGTGCGCGCGGGACGCCCACCCGTGCACGTGGGGCGTGGCTGCCGGCGCCGGGAGCCTGCGATCTGCGGACCCGGAGCGGGGAGCCCCCGCCGCCGCCCCCGCCCGCGCAGCGCGGCGCCCCTCGCTCCGCCCGGCTCTGCGGCTCTTTGGCCCCCGAGTGCGGAGTCGCTTTTGCCCCAAACTGGGGCCCCGGGTGGGACTTTCCCTTCCTGTTGGTGCTGGTTGGGGCAGCCAGGGTGGGGGTGGGGGAGTCACCTCGCCGGAGGAGGCGGAGGAGGGGGGGGGGCAGCCTCCGGGCCCCGCAGCCCCGCGGCTCTGGCGGCCGCAGAGCCCCTTTGGCCTTCGCCCCGCCAGCGGCTCCCTCACCTGCCCGGGTGCGCCGAGTTCCCAGGGCGCGCGGCCGGGACGTCGGGAACTCCCGGTGCCCCAGGCAGCGGGCGGGCGGGCTCCAGTCTTTGGGGTTTCTCTCCACCCTGATCGCACCATGCACCCGCGCCCAATGCTGTGGTAGCCCACAGGCATGGGCTAGCGCTGGGCCAGCCACGTGGTTGGGGACCTCTGTGGGGTCCCCGCCGCCCCCACTACCCTCTCCAGTCCAGACCCGGCAGTCACAGGGATCCCTGGAGGACAGAGTCTGCCCATGAGGGGTTTGGCTTGAGTTAGAACAAAGTTTGCCTACGGAGGGAAGGTCTGACATGGATAGACTCAGCCCGGGAGCCCTGGGGCTGCTCACTCTGCACTGAGCAGACTCCCCGCCCGCCCAAGGGCCCGGCTCCTCCCCAGGAGATGCCAACAGCCCAGACCAGTGGCTTCGCCCTGGCCTGCCTCTACCCTCAGGTCTGGAGACGGGCATCAGGGAGGTGCCTGCCATGTGGGGCCCCTGTGGGGCAGAGACTGGAAGGCCTTGCAGCCCCTGGGGTCACCGCTGAGCTCCCGGCAGTCCTTTCAAGGCTCCTCTGCCACTGGGCTTGCGCAGAGGAGCAGGCAGGCAGCCCTGGGAAGAGTGTGGATGGAGAGGGGCCTGCCTGTGGTAACGCCATTGGCCTTGAGAGCGTGAGGGTCATCATTTCAGCAAACGTTGGGTGCCTGCTGGGTGCCAAGCCATGCTGGGTCCCGGGCACCCCCATAGGGAAGCCTCACCTACCAGGGGCTTGAGGAGCCGTGACAGAATGTTACCCAGGGCAGTGGCAAGGGGCATGTTCTTAGCACTGGGCCAGGCGCTGCCTCGCAGCTCACTTAACGCTCACAGGAACTATATAGGGTGGGTGCTGTTGCTACAGATGGGGAAACCGAGGCCAAGAGGGATCTGATGAGCTGTTCCCAATCACCCAGCAGCTCGGAGGAGAGAGCTAGGAAGGGCCAAGACAGAAAAGCAGGTGGTCTGAGGAATGGGCATTCTGGAGAAGGGGCTCCTTATACCTATAAGGGGGAGGAGGGATAGAAGGGGGGATAAGGGAGGTGTCAGACAGAGAGCTAAGAAGACCCAGAGGTGGGAACGCAGGACACCAGTTAGGGGCCATGAGGTAATGGTGGCATTTGAGGACATGGAGATACACGGACAGTCCAGAGGTAGACCCGAATAAATTTGAAATAAGAAATGGAGCCTTTAAGCTCCGATGGCCCCTGGCTCTGGAGTCTTACTTCAGGGAGTGCTCCCTGCCCGCCCCCCCTCCTCGATTATCTGGATCCAAAAGCTGTCTCCCTCAAATCTTAGCGAGGGGCACAAAGTCTGGAGAGAGGCAGCCTGGCCCTTCCTTCAAGGTCTTCACAGTCTGGAGACCCGCAGACAAGCCCAGGTGAGACTCCTGGCTCTTACTTTGCAGGGTACTGAGGCCTAGGGCTGTGAGTCGGGCACTGGCTGTAGGAGAGGAGGCCGCAGAAGGACTGGAGGCCGCAGCTCTGGGAGCCAGGGGGCAGCATGGCGGGAAAATCTCTAGGGCCGTGGTCGGCAAACCGCGGCTCGAGAGCCAGATGTGACTCTTTGGCGCCTTGAGTGTGTCTCTTCCACAAAGTGGCGTTAAAAGAAGTTTAAGTTTAAAACGTTTGGCTCTCAAAAGCAATGTCAATCGCTGTCCTGTTGCTATTTGGCTCTGTTGACTAATGAGTTGCCGACCACTGCCCCAGGGCATCCTTGGCACAGCTGAAGCCAGTCGTTGTTGCTCAGTGGTTATCTTGAGTCACCCAGTGGCAGCGGCTCTGTGCATGCAAAGGGCAGAGGGCGTGGGCTGCTATTCGGTTCCCTGACGGCCCCCCCCACACATGCGGTGCGACCGTAATTTCCATCAGCCACCAGCACAAGCCGGTCCCGTGCAGACTGCCGGTCCCCGCCCAGGACTGGGCGCCTCCCCTCTCTCGCTCCCAGACCCAGACTCCGTGGTGTCTGTACAGAGAGATGTAAGGAATGGCTCAAAAGCTAGTGGCCGTGCTGGGTGCTGTTGATTTCCTGAGCTGTTCTCTGTGTTCACCTGTGAGCGTTTCCGGGTCCTTCCCTCACGCGGGTGGCTGTCAGTGGCCCCATCTATGCGCCCAACAAGCCCAGACACCCCAGAGGCACCTGACGCTGGCACCTGCCTGCCCGAGAGATAGGCACTGCGCTTCCCTGCTTATCTGCCGTTGGAGGCGATCTGTTCAGAGATTACACAATTTGCCTGATCAGCAGACGTGGATTGTAGCGCGCTGGTGATTCAGGTTTTTTTTTAAATTTTGGAATACAATGAAGTTTCAGAGGGGTGGTCCCCTTAGATCTGAAATTGAAAACCAAAAGAAATTTGGCAGGTCAATGATTTAAAAAAAAAAAAAAAAAAAAAAAAAGTGAATGTGGGAGATTCCCCTGGAATGGTCACTGAGACTGTGGCTGTTTCACACGAATGTGGAATTCCTCTCCTGAGCGCCCATTCCAGGTCCGAAGCCAAATAAATGGGCTCCAGGAGCGTCCCAGGTGTGGACACGGGGCTGCAGTCCCCTCTTCTGCCCTCTCCTCCGGGTTTAGGGGGTTAATTTGAAGAGGCAGGTGTGGCCCGGGTGTGACTTCCTTCTCCCTGTTTGTGGAGTCGGGACAGGGCCTCTGTCCCCTGATAATCTTCCCGTGGACCCTCAGGGAGCCATTTCTCTTCTATCTTCCTTGGGGAAGCTCCTCGCAGGAGCGCTTCCCCCTCCCCCGCCCCCGAATATCCCAGGGGTTGATCTTCAAAATACTTTCAAACCTCCCACCCATCACACTTGGCCCTAACAAGAGTCCTGCCACCTCTGTCGAGATGCTGTGTCCCCATCTCTCCGATGAGAACACAGGCCCAGTGCCGAGGAGTCTCATGGATGAGTTGGGTCTCAGCTTCTGTCCCCTTCATCCTGGGCCCCCCACCGGTAATGGTATGCAAAACCCAAGCCTCTGTCATTCGTTCCTGCACGCATGCTCGTTCCATACCACCCATTCACCCACGTTTCCCTGTGGAATCGCCCCTTCCTTACGGATAAGAACGTCCCGGAGCCCCTGAAATGGGAGGCCTTGCATACAATATACACACATCCTCCCGCTGCAAGTTCAGTCTGCCTTTCTGTCCCGTCCTACCCACCAGAGCATCCACGCCACTGCTCCGTGGAAGGGCCCCGTAGTCACATGGCCACCGTGTCAGCTTCTGTGGCCATCGCAGTGTGGCCACCTCCCCAGCTCAGAGTTGCTCTCCAGACCCTGGGGGTCTCCCAGCCCACGTTGAGTGCAGCAGAAAAAGAGCCCACGCTCTCTGTTGAAACGTGGCTACCCCCTCACCCCTTGTTCAGGTAGGATCGTCCCATTTTATAACGTTTAGCCAAGACGCAAACAGACAAAGCAACTGCCCAGGGGCACACATCAGCGACAGGGCCAGGTTTGGGGGCGGGATCCGGGACTCTCACACCAGGGCTTGGTGCTGCCTCCTGCATGTCCAGGCCGTGCATCCAGCTCTCTTTTATCACTTATTTAAAATCTAGATTTGGCATTGCCACCATCTTCCACGGGTGGTCCACTTTGACCATGAGATTGTTTTCCCCGGTCCTCTCCTAGTTCTTGGTTCTGTGTCTCGCTTCCCAATTAGAGCAAACTTCCGTTGTAGATTCTGGGTGGACGATTATATATATATATATATATATATATATATATATATATATATATATACACACACACATTTAATCCTTGCTACGACCCTTTGAAGGCAGTCGCATCAGACGAGAGAGGTCTTGTTACTCCCCCGGCCCTCCTTTTACAAAGAAGGACCTAGAGGATAGAGAGGTGAGGCCGTGTGCTCAGGATGAGGCAGTAGAGGCAGAGCTGGCCTCTGCCCTCAGGCAGGAGGGCGCCCGCCTCTGTGCTGCCACTCCCCAGGTGGTTTGAGATGTGTGGGGATGTTCCTGTGCTCCCCAGACCGTCAGGCCTCATGGGTCCTCCATCAGGCCTCAGCGGACAGAGTTGTCCAGTGTTGAACTTGAACCTGGGGAGTTGTCCCTACGTTTATGTCCCTGCTCTCTGGCTTGATGGGTCCCTCTGAATTTCTTTCCCACTCTCTCAGGGTTCGTGTGTCCACTTTGATGAGTAGTAGCAGTAATTCCAGCCAGCCAGGGGCCCACAGAAGGTGCCAAGCCCACCCTGTGGGTAGCAGGTCATGAATGGGGGTGCAATGGGGGTGCATTGGCCAGGCGTCAGGGACCCTGCCACCCTCTTTAGAGGCCCCTGTGCGTTAAGAGCTCCTAAGTGGAAGGCCCCAAGGCAGTCCCGGCACATGAGACCTGCACAGGCTGGAGTGGTCAGGGACCCCCAGAGCGTGGAGGACAGGGATTCGTCCCATGCCCTGGAAGCTGGGTAGAATTACGAAGCATGGAGGAGGGGAGGGTGTGCAGGTAGAGAGCACAGCAGGTGAAAGGGGATGAGGATGTCCTGACTCCAGTGTACGCCCCGGGAGGGGGGTGGGGGTGGAGGGCAGGAGCCCAGGAAGCTGGGGATGGTGGTGTGGGCAGGACACGAGGATGGACAGCCAAGCCTGGCTCAGCTCTGAAGAGGGAAGTTCATAGAAATAAGCATCTTGTGCAAGTGCTGGGCGTCTGGCATGCCCAGGATGCGGGCAGCAGGCAGGCTGTCCACTGAGGTCTGACCTCGTCCCAAGCTCTTGCCCTGCCCGGCGGCAGTTCATTCCCTGAGCGCCGGCCGGTGGCTTCCCGGTCAGCCCTCGGTCTGGCTTTTCTGTCCACTCCACCGGGAGAAGAGGCACCGCGTTCCCCGCCAACTCACTATGACTCTGCACTCGTCTGGCATTCCTGAGACATTGAGGAGGATGAGCCTCCTCCGCCAGTGGCACCAGGATCGAAGGGGGTGGTGGGGAGGGGGGGTGACAGGACGCCCCCCAGCACCCGTTTTGGGAATTGGATGGAGCGTGGGCCCAGCCCAGGTGTTCTGTAACTCAGATAACCCTCCTGGCCGCCAGGGGACCGCTCACACCATCCTCCCGTTTTACAGTCGGACACTGAGGCCCAGCGCGGGTAGGTGGAGAGGCCCACGCCCAGACTGAGAGCCAGGTCTGGCCGACTGCAGGGCCTGGTGCTCGGCCACTGGCCCTCACGGCCCCTCTCTCCCTCCACGCTGAAAAAGAGCGGCACCTTAGTCCCCGCTCCTATGGAGGGATGGAGCCCCGTGGGTGTGCACATGGGGTTCGAGGCTGGGCAGGGACCTCAGGAGCCCTCCCAGTCCCTGGCCTCTGCCCTGCCTGTGAGCCTGTGTGAGGAGCACTTTTGTGGGTCGACCCTGGTCGCCTTTGGCAAACCCTCTGGTCCAGCCCGCTCCGACTCCCGGAACCAGGAGGCCATCCGAGGGCCGATGGCCTGCTTGGCGTCTTCACAGAGACTGTCTCCTCCGTGTCAGCGGCATGAACGCGGGCAGGGGCTACGTCCACCGGTTGCGGTGGCTGCTGGGTGGCTGATGGACGGAGGGAGCGGGTGGACGGGGTGGTTCGGTTTGAAGCGCGCTCCCTCCGAGGGCCCGCCCGCGACAGCCCGGCCGTGAGTGGGGTTCCCTCCGCTTCCCCTGCAGCTGCTGAACTCGCTGTCCGTGGACCCTGACGCCAACTGCAAGTACGGCCTGTACTTCCGCGATGGCAAGCGCAAGGTGGACTACGTCCTGGTGTACCATCACAAGCGCGGCTCGGGCAGCAAGACGCTGGCCCGGAGGGTCCTGCAGAACGACGCCGCGGTGGGCGGCCGCCAGGGCCAGCCCCTGCCCGGGAAGGGCAGCCCGGGGGGCAAGCGCGAGCTGGAGAGCCCCATGGACTTCTACGAGGACGACAAGAGGTTCCGCAGGGAGGAGTACGAGGGGAACCTCCTGGAGGCGGGGCTGGAGCTGGAGCACGACGAGGAGGTACCTGTTCCTCTTCTTATTGGCCAGTTGGGCGGACAGGGTGGAGCGGGGGCGGGAGGGGGGCAGGGGGGCATCGGTGGGTGAGGCTGTGCAGTTCTTTCTTCTGAAGGCGGAGGGGACGTGTCTGTCCTCTTAGCTTTTATTTTTTAAATTTTTTAAAATTTTCTTTATTGATTAAGGTATCACATAGTTGTCCTCAACCCCCCCTTCCAATCCCCTACCCCACCCCACTCATGCCCCCACCCCCTTATTGTCCTTGACCACTGGTTAGGCTCATATGTGTGCACACAAGTCCTTTGGTGGATCTCTCCCTTTTATCCCCACCCTCCCTCTGAGGTCCAGCCGTCTGACCCATGGCTCCTTATCGCTGGGTCTGTTCTTGTTCATCCGTCTATGGTGTTCCCCATTTCCCCCAGATGAGTGAGCTCATGTCCTACTGGAAATATACTTATAAGAATCGAACATGAGACAAGCAGTCATGGTTATGCTGTCCTCTTTGCTTTAAACCCGTGCTGAAGGAAGGCGGATGGGAATGCCTCTCTGGTTAAGGTTGGGTAGAAATGGCTTCCAGTGGCTTCGGGGAGTCCCAAACCACCCCCTCCAGGCCACGTCTGCTCTGGGGTAGGACTGACGGTCCAGCGATGGCCTTTGGAGTGGAGGCCTTTCCTGCTCTTGTCAGTTTCTTCCCTGGAAGATGTGCCCCGGTCGAGGGCCAGAGGGTGGCGCTCTCCCGGGAGTCTTCCTGGTGGTTGGCCATGGCCCTCCTCAGAGGCTCAGCTTCTCCAAGTTGGGAGATCAGCCTGACTGAGCCCCGAGGGCCTGGTGCTCTGAAATCCCACAACTCTGACACTTTCCTGGAGCCCCGCTCCCCGGCAAGGCCTGCGAGAGAACCGTTCTCAGAAAATGATTCGGGGGAGAGCAAAGAGGGAGCTCACCTGGCAAGCAGGGCTGCCCTGGCGGCGAGAGGCACAGCAGTGTGTGTGGGGAGAGGGCCCTTAGCGGCCCTGGGTTTGCCGTGCTCCCCCGTCAACCCCTTAACCGCCTGAGCACGGGGCCTGCCCTCCGTGAACACTGCCAGGGGTAACGGAGAATCGGCAGAAGTGGGCATAGCACGCTGCGAACAGAACCAGTCGTGCCTGAGCCGGTTCATTGAGGACGCTGACAGCCACCTGTGAGCGTTCACGATCAAAGCTGGTATCGATTTGCTAGTCCGTCGATGAGAACCATGACCAATAGCGGATGCTTTGGGTCCAGGGATAAGCAAGCTTTTGGGATTCGGTTGGGGAGCCCGTGGTGTGAGGTCTGTTCCCACTGACCTCTTTCCGCCCTGACCGGGCGTGGGTTTGAGTGTTTGGCAGGGAGCATCCCTCTGGGTCACGTTCGCCTTCGGAGGTGGGGCTGCCTGCGGGCGTGGGTGGCTCCCGCTGCAGGGATGTTGGAGTCGCGAGGGCGTGTGAGGGGCCTCAGAGTGCTTTGGTGACACAAGATTTGGTCCTGACAGTGGCTGTGACATTGGGCAGCAGCTGCAGACAGGTGTGCGCTGGCCCTTCCGAGTTTTGTGGCTCACTTTGCCTTAGGCCTGAGCTGGGGCCGCTCAAAGAGAGCTGTCATTTTTTGATGACTTTTTGCGTTGTTCTGCCTGGCCAGCCCCATAGCCATTGGTGGAGACGATACGGCTACTATGCAGAGCCAACTTCCATATGTCGGAGCGGGTGGGCAGAGCCGGGGTCTTGGGCTCAGTGTGGGGTGCGCCAGTCGGTATAGTGTACCCAGGGGGATGCTGTCGCTGCCCTTCTCTCCTCACTACAGCTGTGAAATCTCACGCTTGAAAGGGCCCACGAGGTCTGGTGATTCACGCTGACCCTGGCCCACTCCCAGACCCTCTCCCTGTCCTCTGTTCAACGGCGTAGGCCTTAGTTTCCCCATGGGCCACATGGAGATACGCCATATCACTGGGCTGTCTGTCGTGAGCAAAGTGCACAGTGCTTAACTCCAAGCCTGGCACGTGACAAATTCCTACTGAACGCTAATAATGCTTCATCACTGTTCTGGGAAGTGGGAACAGCAGTGCCCTCGAAGGAGGAGAGAAAAGAGCCGTGTCTTTTCCAATAACTTTGTGACAAGCCAACCTAAAGACTGTCACCAATAAAAGATCTAGTTTCCCCAATAAGGGGCCCCAAAATGCCATTGATAATTTGGCTCTGTGGCCCAAAGAGGCCTTTCGGCCACCCATCGGGCCATTTTATTTTATTTTTAAAATTTCTTTATTGATTATGGTATCACATAATTGTCCTCATCACCCCCATTCCCATCCCAAACCCCTCCCCAAATATGTCCCCACCCCCCTGTTGTCCATGACCACTGGTTAGGCTTCTATGCATGCATACAAGTCCCTTTGGTTAATCTCTCCCCTTTTCCCCCACCCTCCTCTACCATCGGGCCATTTTAACATGAAAATGCGGTGGAGGGATAGAGACGGTTGGAGTTTCCCAAGCAGCTGACGCTGAGTGCGGACCGTCTCTTGGTGGAGTCCCTCCACAGCGAACTAGGGCCCCTGTCACATGCAGCTCCCACCCGAGACCGTCAGGCCCAAGATGGCTGGGGAAAGCCCCCATCTGGTGCCCTCGCCAGCTCTCCCGAGACAGGCGGGACCAGGATCTATTCAAAGGCCGCTGGGGCTCAGGCAGCCTGTGAGGTATGTGCGTGCCTCTGCCAGGGCGATTAGCAGGCAGCCGCTGTAGTTTGTTTCTGGTGGGAGAGACTCAGGAACCAGTCCCCCTGAGCGCTCCAAGGACAAGGGCTGGGAGGCTTTGTAGTTTGGGGAACACCATAGCCTCTGAAAGACCCGGATGTGCAGTCGTAACCAATGTGAAGCACAATTTGGTGCTTTTGTGCACTTTTCGGGGGGGGGAGGGGGGGATGAGCGGGGAGGCCATAGAACCTATTGGATCCTCAGCTACTCAGCAACACCCCAAGAGAAGGGACTGTCGCATGGAGCAGGTTTCTCTCCCTCGGCGCTGCTGGCGGCTCATATTGAGCAGTATCACTTGCCAGTAGCACCCCCAAGTCACGCAGCCCCAAATGTCCCCAGACGTTGCTAACTGTCCCTAGGTCTAATATGGAGAGGCTCTGCTTTAAAGTGTTAACGTAAAAAAAAACAAAAAACACACACACAAAAAGACATTCAAACCCATAAAAAAAATTTGTGAGTTTATTTGAGCCAAACTGTCGATATATGCTGGGAAGCAGAACCTCAAGGAAGTGAGATGATGCTCTGGAGAATGGCGGTTACATCTGTATTTATACATGGCCGTCAAAGGAGGGACATAGGTGGGTTACATGGAATCCATTGGTGATAGACTAGAGAGGCGAGAGTGGTGGTGGGGACCCCTTGGAATTGGATCAAAAGTAAAACGATAAGCACATACGTAGATGGGGCAGGAACAAGTAACATAACAATGAAGGAATTTGTGGTCTCTGTCCCGGGGCCCAGGGTGTGTTATTATAGATGCAAAAAGACAAATAGGCTCGGGTAAGGTACAGGTTGACCTTGTCAGGGAAGATGCCGGCCTAGGAGGTGACTACCCACCATCACCGCTTTTAGTGAAAGTTTCATTTCAGACCATCCCTTGTGGTGACTTTAGGTCTCTGAGTTTGCAAGACCGGCCATGCAGGCCTCCCCTGAGCTTGTCAGGTCAGCGTGTGGCCCCTTTCCTCCACAAAAGGCTCGGGGACGGTGGGGACAAGAAACGGGACAGAGAAAAAGGCCTCCTGGGTGCGACGGCAGCCCCCCTGAGCCCAGTCTCCCCTGGCCGTGTCCAGGCGGCCCCGTGGAGGTCACCAGCAGCCCAGGCGTGGCCTGCCTTTGCTCCCTGAGGGCCAGCGGGCAGGCTGTGCTGTGCGGCTCCTGAGCGGGTGGCTGTGAGCCCTGTGTGAACAGGACCCCTCCGTGCTTGCCTTTTCCGTGAGTCGGGGGCGGGGGGAGGGGGTTGAGGTAAAGACATCCTTGAGGACGCAGAAGACCCACCTGGCAAAGTGGGGGCCGGTTCTTAGGGACACAAAATGGTTATTCTCCTGGGGCCGCCATAACAAACTGGAGGGGGGTGGGGGGGGGCTCAAAACAATGCAAATTTATTCTCTCCCAGTTCAGGAGTCCAGGTGTGGGAAAGGCCCCATTCCCTCCCCAGGCCCCAGGGGAGGCTCCTTCCTCCCTCTTCCAGCTCCTGGGGCTCCAGGCCTCCCTTGGCGGTGGCTGCAACACTTCAGTCTCTGCCCCTGTCTTCATACGGCCTCTGTGCGGCCTTCTTAGAAGGTCACTGGCCCTGGCGTTGAGGGCCCACTCTCACCCGGGATGGCTTCCTCTTGACTGGGTTGCATCTGCAAAGATCCTCCTTCCAAACAGGATCCCATTCAGTCACAGACATGGGGGGTTAGGACACGGGCGTCCCTTTATGGAGACGCCATTCACCAGCACAGCAGCTGAGACCGTGCCCTGGAGTGGGTAGCTCACACAGGGGTACGAGTAGTGAGTGCGCGAGGGAGGTGCGGTCCTGGTTGGGGGCAGAGCAGGGCAGATGGTCTGGGATCGGTCCAGCCGTGGCGTCAGGGCCCAGCATATGCACAGAAACCCCCCGTGGTCCTGTCAGAATGCGGCTCTGGTGCAGCAGGTGTGAGGTGGGAACGGGACTGAGTTTCTAACCAGCAGCCAGGGCGTGGGGAGGCCGCTGTGCCGACCACGCTCGGAGGCATGAGGAGTGTGCAGGCCTTCTCCTCCGCGTGCCGGCTGAGGCATCCGCGGAGAAGGGCCCCAGAGTCCACGGCCCCGATCCCATGTTGGCACCCCGAGGTCAGAGCCCCCAGCATCCGTGATAGGAAATGATGGGAAGGAAAAGCGTCCGGGAGGCAGCAGGCCCCGCCTGCCTTCTGAGGGAACGCACCCTCTACCCCTCCCTCCGCCTGCAGAGGGGTCGGCGTCCAGCATCCCATTAAGTGGACGAGAGCCGTTGGTGGCCAGCGTGGTTCCCCTCAACTGGAACCCATCAGCATCTCTCCAGTCCGGCCTCAAAGCCTGCCGGACGTGATTTATGTCCGCGGTCATCGCCGGGAAGGCCACACACTGTTATCCGCCGTGTGTGTGTGCCGGGGCGCCGAGGCCCGCACTGCCCAGACGCTGAACCTGACCTTGGCTCTGGCAGCACAGCGAGGGCCGCGGACCTCAGAGCCCTGGGAAGTCCGTCTGCCCTCGCACTGCCGTCCGGGGATCAGCCGTGCGCCGGGCTGCCTGGCCCGGGTTCCTCCCGGGGAGCCCGTGGGGGTCCCTCAGCCACAGCTGTGTCCCATCCTCCTTACTGGGCATGCTCCTTCAGAGAAACAAGTGAGGGAAAATGGAGGCAGCTTCCAGGCCAAGCTACGGGCGCAGGATGCATCATGGGCTGGCAAAGATGTGGGCTCAGACCACCCCGTCCACTTCCTGGCTGATCGGTCTCGGGCAAGGGGCTTCCTTTCCCTCCTGGACCTCAGTTTTCCAATCTGTGGAATGGGGATGATGGTACTTCCTTCCTCAGGGAGTGGACTGAGAGAGTGAACACTCCTCGCCCCCACCCCGGTGCTTATGGTCACAGGGGGCTTCAGCTCCTGTCTTTCTTTCCGCCTGTCGGGAACCAGAAGGCAAATCTTGGGGGAAGGGTCTCCCTGCGGATGGAGACACCGCCAGCTGACAGGGCAGGGGGCGGGTTGGTCTGCCACAGTCATGGCCACAGGAAGGGGACGTGTTTCCTGCAGTTCCCAGCTGAAGCCTGGAGGGCATGGGCAGGTGTCCCGGGTGGTTCTGGGGCTTGGCTGACCGTGATGACCAGCTGGGCCCTCAGCACAGGCGGGAGTGAGGGCAGCCCCTCCTCTAGGCTCCTCCTCGGCCCCCGTGGGATTAGGGGTAGAGGGGGGTGTGTTTTCAACTTTGAGGAACTTGAGGTCTAATCCCAGCATCTCGATACCTAAGAACAAATGAGTGGCACACATGTTGGGGGGACTTGTCCATTTGGAAGCAAACCCTAACCCGCACGTGGGAGCTCCCTAGCTCCGCCATGAGGAGGTGGTCCGGGAACTGACCCCTTTACGGACAGAAAGAAAGGATCGGAGGCTCTGAGAGGTGAACCACAGAAACTGAGCCCACGGGGCCTGGGTCCCAGATTGCTAGTCCTGTCCTGAAGCAGTCATTTCTCACTCATACTTCCACCACTATGCATTCATTTCTCTGGCACTAAAGGTTTTATGTCTTTTTTAAAAATATATATATATTTTATTGATTTTTTACAGAGAAGAAGGGAGAGAGAAACGTCGATGAGAGAAACTTTGACCAGCTGCCGCTAGCACACCCCCTACTGGGGATGTGCCCGCAACCAACGTACATGCCCTTGACCGGAATTGAACCTGGGACCTTTCAGTCCGCAGACCGACACTCTACCGCTGAGCCAAACCGGTTTTGGCAGGTTTTATGTCTTTTGAGTCTCCTGCTGAGGCGTTTGCTCTCCCCCCTGAGTTCCTTTGGCCTATCACTTCGAACGTATCTAGACGTTAGATGGTTGCACAGCCCCGCCCAGGTCCCAGACGGGTTGTGGTGAAATCTGTGCCATTCTGGCTGCCACTCCAACATCCTCATGGGTCTCAGGCCCTGGAGTGCCAGAGTCAGCTCTTTCTGGCTCGTTGGGAACCTGCTAACCCTTTGGTAGCTTGCACTAGGCCTGTGGCGAACAAACTGCGGCTCGCGAGCCACATGCGGCTCTTTGGCCCCTTGATGTGGCTCTTCCACAAAATACCATGGCCTGGGCGAGTCTATTTTGAAGAAGTGGCATTAGAAGAAGTTTAAATTTAAAAAATGTGCCTCGCAATGGAAATTTCAATCGTCGTATTGCTGGTAGATGTTTGGCTTTTTGACTAATGAGTTTGCCAACCACGGCAGGAGGCCATAATGGGAGTCTTTACACCACAGAAATGGGCAGATGCTACAACTAGAGATCAGGCCCAGGGGTTGTTTTTGCTCTCCGCAGAGCCAGGTTACCAGCATCAACCTGCTCTCCCCTGCATGTCTGTCTTCCTTTCTTTGGTTGAGGATTTTTTTCAAACATGTCTGTTGAGTGTTTAATTCTCTTTGTGACACTGTTTCTGGAAGTTCTCTCGGGTTCATTTCCAAGTTGGCTGTGTCGGGTTTTAGTAGTTTCCTGTCCTTGGCAGAACCTTTCTGATTCATCATCCATCTAACCCTTTCAGAACCCAAGACCTAGGGCAAACACCCGGGTATACACGAGTGTCCCTTGCCAGTATCTTAATTTAATTGGGGGGGGGGGTCCAATCGGAGTCCAGACTCTGTCTCCTCTTGGAGCCCCCGGTCCACAGCTCTGGCCCTGGCCAATCTGTGGCCTCCAAACCCACCCTCCCCCTCCACCACCACCCCCCCCCCCAGCACCAGGTTGCCCGAGTTGGGACGGGTCTCACTGCTCTGGGGCCTCTGGCTGTTGGCAAAGGGGATCCCGCGTCTCACAGTGTCTCCCCCACTGGGGTGGGCTGCGGGCAGGCTGGGCACCGTGTTTTAAAACATCCCGCGTGTGCTGCTGCCGAGCTGACCCCTTTCCCAAGCCCGCCAGATGTTTCCCTGGGAGAGACATAAACAAAGAAGCGTGTTTCCCAGGAGTGCACCAGCTCCCGGACCACCTCGAGAGCTCTCCGCGGGCCGGGAGGGTGTATTTTGGGCCTGCGTGCGGATGAGCAGAGCCCAGAAATAAACTCGATCTGTAGCAGGAGGAGATGGGCTGAGCTGCACGTGGACATCCACGGTCGTCTCTCCCTGCGCGGGCGTGCCCCCGGCTCACCAGGGCCGGCCCCTCGGTGCCCTCCAAGGGCTCCAGGGCTGGGAAGCTGCCTTCAGCTTCTTGGCAAAGGAGGCCGCAGAGCAGGCATGGCCTCGGCTTCCTCTCGGCCCTGGAGAGGGAGTCCGGAGCAGAGGCAACAGCCCCTCATTCTCTGGCCTCGCCTGCCAGCCCGAGGCGGGGGGGAGGGAGGGCTGGGCACGAGGGCCTCCCCTGACTGAGACGCAGTCCTGTGCTGCCCAAATTTACAGATGGGCACACGGGGGCTCAGAGAGATTGGCTGACTTACTGGAGACCCCAGTAAGAGGGGCAGAGTAGGATTTCCATCCAGGCCACCGGATCCCAAGGCTTCTAAGTCCCGTGGCCCTGCCCGGTGCTCACCTGACCTGAGTCCCCAGCCCTGGGCCGCTGTGTCAGGGCTCCAGGCTCCCGGCTGGCACACCTCTGAGCCTTTGTTCATCAGGAGGGTTCTGCGCCTGAGCGCTCTGGTTCTGGCTGTGTCCGGAAGCAGCCCCCGCCCCAGCTTCTGGCCCATGCTTCTCTGCAACTTCCCTGATGGTGGCGCTCCACGGCCCCAGAGGGCTCGGGCGGTATCTTTGTGACGCGCGCAGCTGTGTCCTCTGGAACCTGTGGCTGTGCCTTTGTTTGGAAGCAGGGTCTTTGCAAATATGTACGTAGTGAAGGGTCTTTGGACGGCATCCTCTGGATGTAGGGTGGGCCCCAGTCCCATGACAGGTGTCCTTAGAAGAGAAAGGAGAGGGTTTTAAGCAGAGACATACGGGGGCGGGAGGAGGGGACATGTGACGATAGAGACGGGGTGATGGGGTCAACAAGCCCAGGGACACCTGGAGCCCCCAAAGCTGGGGGAGGCGGGAAGGACCCTCCGCTGGAGCTCTCAGAGGGAGCACTGCCCTGGGCCTGGCTCTGCTGTGAAGGGGCCTCTGTGTGGTATGGCCGGGCCGCCCTGGGGGCTGCGGCTCCCCCCCTGGTGTTTGGAGCCTGGACCCTCCATCCAGGCCCTCCTGAAACCCGGCCTCCCGAGCTCCCTGCACCACCTGCACAGAGGGGACTCAGTGCCCTGCCGAGAGAGGCACGAGGGGTGACGGAGAAAGGTCCCGGGTGGCAGCTCCTGACAGGCTGTCAGTGGGTCCGGAGGCCAGAACGGCTTCCGCCCGTGTCTGCCCGCCCCGACGGAGGCCGCCTCTCGCCTTCCAGACCAAAATCCACGGCGTCGGGTTTGTGAAGATCCACGCGCCCTGGAACGTGCTGTGCCGGGAGGCGGAGTTTCTGAAACTGAAGATGCCGACGAAGAAGGTTAGTGGGGACGTGTCTGCTCAGCGGCGGGTCTCCGGCCAGAGGCCCCACAGACTCCGCGGCCAGAGGCTGGCGGAAGGCTCCGTGCAGCCCCCCCCCCCCCCCCCGCCCCGGGCGGTGGCTCGGGCAGGGAGCCGGGGCCCGTGCTGTGCGATGGATGCAGTCGAACTCCCCGCGCACGGGCTTCTCGCTCACCGTGTCTCAGCTAGCGCATCGGGCTCGTCTTAATTGCATTTCCTGGCTGGCTGGGGCTTTCCTTTTTAATCTCTGAAAACGGTGCAGCTCAGACCCCTTTGGAGGGCGGAGGGCGGAGGGCAGGACGGGATGCTCCTGAAGCTCAGCTGGCATTGAGAGGGTGAGGGGGGGAGGTCGAGAGGGGGGACAGGTGCGGTTCCCGGGCGAGGACAGGGAGGGACGGTGGTGCTGGGGGAGTAAGTCCTCCAGGCGTCTCAAATCCACCCCTTTTGAGACAAAAGTAAAGTCCGGGGAAGTTTCTGAAATGGATTGCAATTGCTCTTTCGGGCCGGTCTCCCCCGAAACCGTGGGCCTCCCAGATGTGTGGAGAGGGGCACCCTGGCGGGTCCCGGCGTGCGTTCCCCGGAGGGGCCGCCTCAGGGGGGTGGAAATAGACCCCTGGCTCTGGGCTCAGCAGATGATGGATCTCCGCCCCGTCTCGCCCCAGCTGTATCACATCGGCGAGAAGCGAGGCTTCCTGAAGAAGATCAGCTCGGTGCTCCAGAAGATCACGGACCCCATCCAGCCCCGAGTGGTGGAGCGCCGACCCCAGACCATGAAGCGACTCTCCTACCCCTTCTCCAGGGAGAAGCAGCACCTGTGAGTAGGACCAGCCCCTCCCCGGGGCGATGGGGGGTGACCTCCCTGTCACGTGAGAAATGCAGGTTGTGGGGCCAACTCCCCCAAAGAAGTGGGGGTGGCAGCCCCTGGTGCCTCTTCTCGTGGCCCTTGGAGTTGTTGGGGCCCTAAAAATGCTCCCTAAGGTAAGGTGAGCAGACGTCCCGCTTAACAAAAAATCGGGACTGTCCTGCCAAAAGCGGGATGTCTGGTCACCTTACCCGAAGGTCACTGTTCACTGGGGAACTAAGGAGGCAAAGAACTTTCCATCCTGACAGGGACACTAGTGAGGGCACAGGGAGGGCAGGGGGGGGCGGACCCCAGATCACAGCCCCAAAGCAGTGGTCTGGGCACCCTCCCTCCTGCCCGGCTCCATCCCTCTTGTCCTGCTTAGGATGCGCCTGCCCGGGAGCTGGGAGGCAGGAACGGAAAAGCAGCCCCAGCTGCAGTCCCGAGGCCCCAGGGCCTCCGCAGCCAACGGGGTGGCCTGGCAGTGCAGTGTCTGCTCCGGAGCCTTCCCGCCTCCCTGGCCCCTCGGGGCAGTGGGGCGTAGCCACCTGGGTTGGCGGTGGCTGCAGGGCCTCCGTGGGCAGCGCCGGAGTGCGGGCAGTGGTGGGAGTAAGAAGCCTGGGCTCTGGGAACGCAGTGAGACTTCGGTGATGAGCTGAGGGAGGGCCTCCCAGACACCCCTGCTCTCACGGGCACGGAGACCTGTGCCCTCGGCTCAGAACTGGGGCTTCAGCCTGGCAAATGCAAATGCGTCAGTCACAGCCCAGAGGTCCCGCGCCCCCCTCAGCCTGTTTACCCAGGACAAGGAACAAGAAACAGTGGCCCAGGTCAGCTTCTTCCACCAGCTCCCAGGCCGAGCTCCGGGGCTTTGAAGGCAGACCAGGACCCCTGGCCCCGGCCTCCCTCGCTCTGCCCCGGCCGGCTCCCTCGCAACCTGCCAGTCCGGGCTCCCCGCAGCTGCTCTCTCCAGCCCTACCTGGCGGAGTGGGTCACCCACCCCACCCATGTCCCTGTGTACTCAGAAGTGTTAGGCAGCCTCAAGGTGGCCCAAGGCCTCCGCACCAAACCCATCTGGGAGTTGCAGGGAGATTGTCTTACGTGCAGAAAGCACGCTGGTGGAATGATGCCATCCCTGCCCCCAGCCATGTTGAGGCAGAGACCACAACTGCCCACCAAGACCATATGATTGGACAACCAAGGGGTCAGGGCTGCCTCTCGCTACTTGAGCCAATTAAGCAGAGGCAGGGTTTGAATCCTATGCTATGAGCGTTTATTCCCATAATGCCGGTGGGATGGGAGAGCAGCAGGTCATCCACAAACATCTGCTCTCCCCCCGACCCCATAAGCCAACTGCTTCTATAGGGTAGAAGGGCAAAGGTCACGTGGGAAAGTAAGAATCACAGGCCTGGGGAAGTTGGCAAGGGATAATAGTTACAGGCAATAAGGGCTGGCGATGGGGAGGGGGGTGGGCTTGAAAAGGGCTGGTGCCTCTGGGACTAAATTATTTCGGCCTCGAGGTTGTAGATATATCGTTCCATGCTGATAGGCAGTTCTTTGGAAAGGAGGACGGACTGCATTCTGATGGTAGCTCCCATGTCTCAGGGCATACACCTCCCAGGCAGGTTAGAATGTGCTCTCTCTAATCAGAACAGAACCATCGTGGTTAACAGAGCACGATGAATATTTCTTACTAGAGGCCCGGTGCACTAAATTCCTGCCCGGGATGGGGGTCCCCTCAGCCCAGCCTGCACCCTCTCCAATCCGGGACCCCCTCGGGAGATGTCTGACTGCTGGTTTAGGCCCCATCCTGCTGGCTCCTCATCACTCACCTGCCTGCCAGCTTAATCACCCCTAACTGCCCCGTGTTGGCCCGGTCACCCCTCACAGGCCCCCGCCCCCTCCCCTGCCCCCCAATGGCCTGGTCACTCCATGCAACCTGCTGTTCAGTCATTTGGTCATCCCTCACTTACCCTCCTGCCAACCTGGTCATAGGCAGCCATCTTGTGATGGTGTGATGGTCAATTTGCATGCTACCTCTTTATTATATAAGATAATTGCAGCTGGTCCCGATATTCTATTTCTGCCCCTAAGAGAAGTAGGGTCTTCCGTGGTGGGGTCTGAGCACACTTGCCTCTGGGGCCACTGCCCACCATGAGGGTCTCCCAGCCTCTTTGAGAGGGGAGGGAGGATAAACTGCTCCTAATGCCCGGGGGCTGGTCACTCCTGGGCCTCGGACAGTTCTGCCAGTTCCACAGCTGATGCTCACGGGGACAGCGTGGTTCTCAGACTCCAGCAAACTGTGTCTTATGATTCCAACAGATTTGACCTGTCTGACAAGGACTCCTTTTTCGATAGCAAAACCCGGAGCACAATAGTAAGTATCACATGCGCGCGTGGGAATCGCCCGCCGACCGGCAAGGTGGCCCCAGAGAGAGGGACGGTAATTTCATTTCAGAGAAACTCCTCCGGGTGGAAGTGCCTCTAATTGGCTGTGACAGAAATAATTAGGATGATAAAACCTAGAGAGCTTGGGGGGACCCAGAGGATGGCCCAGCCCGGGTGGGGGGTGGGAGGGGGAGAGAAGGGGGAAGGGAAGGGAAGGGGGTGACAGCAGGGAAGAGGGAGAGGGATTCCAGACCCTGGGGTGGTTTCTGGGTGGTCTGGCTTATGGGGTATCTGCAGGCTCCTCACTGTGGGGCCGGGGCCCAGAGGTTGCCCAGGCAGCGGCCAGACAGGAGTGATGGGCGGTGGCCCTCCGAGCTGGGTGGGTTGGGGTAGATGTCTGAGGCTTTGCCAGATGAGCAAACCAAGGTTTGAAATCTGACCAGGCCGCCCTGCCCTATTCAAGGTATCGGCTTAATGTTTATCCACCAGCTGCCAACTTGTCCGCCAGCCAAGATGGGCCCTGCGTGGCTCAGGACCCAACTTTTATCTAAACAAGAAATTAACCTCGCAGCCAAGCCACAGCCAAGCCTCCGCTGCTGCCCTCCCCTCCTCCCCTCCCCGCCCAGAAAACCAGCCTGGGGGGAGGGGCAGGGCTGGACCTGGAGCAGAGAACTGCCGGCCAGAGACAGTGCCGTGGGTCACGTTGGGGTGGGGGGGCTGCTGCGAGGCCTGCTGACAGGCAGATCGGGGTTCTGTCTCCACCCCGGTCCCTCCCGGCCTCGGGAGTCACGGAGCCTGCGTGAGAACCACGGCGGCGATCCCGGCTTCCTGCTCCCAGGGCAGCGGGCGCCGCCTCCGAGGGTCACCGGACGCAGAGCCGGGAACAGAGGCTGCGGTTTTTATTCTTAACCGTGTGACTGATCCGTTTTAGCAGTTAGATCCCATAATCGCAAACAGGGAGGAGCCCCTGTACCCGGTGTAGCTTGGGGCTGGCCTGTGTCCAGAGGGATGCCCACTGCTTGGGAGAACCACCCAGTTCTCACCCGAATGGTTTCCCTCTCCTATGCCAGGATGAGCCAGGAGAGAGTGGCCGGCGGTGCTGACTGAGCCAGGTGCCCGTGTTTCATGACGTGTGTGCACCCCAACTTTTTACATCATCTGGGGCTGCCACAGTGCTCCCCGGAGCACAGGGCAGGGGCCCGCTTGCAAATTCACTCTTGCTGTGATGGAAGGGAGGAATACGTGAGTCTGAAGTTTTAGTTCTCATACATCGGGGATCCATCTGTGACCCCCCAAGTCACAGAAAGCAGTTTTGATAGGGCAGTAAGTATACACTGAACCGTCCGTCAGTCCATTTACCTGGGGGGCGGTGTCACTCTCTCCCGGAGACCCCGAAGGCCAGTTTGTAAACTGCCTGAGCTCTGGAGTCAAAGCTTGAGTGATTCAAAACGTTGCCCTTGGTTAGTCAGGCCCCACGGTCTTTGAGTCCCAACACTATTGGGCAGTGAGGTCTTTGTAGGCAGGTAGGCGGCAGGAGCAGCAGGGAAGGAGTCCATGTGCTGGTCTTGGGATTTAGACCGTCAGCCTTGGGCACTAGGGAGCCATAGGAGATTGTGGAGCAAGGTTTAAGGTGAGGTCAGATTGTCCTACAAAGGTCACTGCCCGGGGCCGGCCGAGGAGAACAGATGGGAAGTGCAGGCAGGTCCATGGCGGCGGTTGTGAATGGGGCTGTGGCGGCAGGTGGATGGGAGGAGGCAGTCCTGGGAGAATCAGCTTGGTCAGAAGGAGGCCACCAATTAGATGTGGAGGATGACGAGAGGGAGCACACTGAGTGGGCTCCATTTATTCGTTCGTACGGTGGGCAGTTACGGAGCACCTGGTGTGTGCTCAACACAGGTGGGCAGAGAAGCAATAGGGGAGGTGGCGAAATGCACCCCAGGACAAGAGAGAAGTGAGAAGGCAGGTGCTCTGTGGCCTGTGTGTTTCGGTCCCTCTCAGTCAGATCTCGGGGCAAGCGCTTCTGGCAGAAGGACCGGTCAGGGTGGAGGCCGTAGGCTATGGGGGAGAGTTTGGTGAGTCAGAGGAGCAGCCAGGAGGCTGGGTTACTGGAACAGACAGGATGAGGAGAGAAGGTCAGACGGAGGGCCTGGGCGGCCACAGGAAGGCTGTTGACCTTGCCCAAGTGAGGGGGATCATGGAAGGTTGCGGGGGGGGGGGGGGGGGGGGGAGGGGGATCAGTGTGCTCTGCCCCGTATGTGTATGGTGTAAGGCCCATTCTTCTCATCCCATTTTGCAAATGGGGAAACCAAGGCACGGGGTGGTGAGGCAGGTGCTCCAGGTCACACAGCTACAAGAGGGAGAGCCTAGACTAGAGCCAGGCAGGCAGACTCCCCAGCCAGGGCTCCTGAGGCCACCAGGCCAAATGTTTTATTAACAAACGGGGCACGGAGGGGTGTGCGATGGGAGACTTCGGGATGTGTGTGGGGGTGGGGGGGTGTTTCCTGCCAAGCACCCTGCGCTCCGCTGCCCCCTGACAGCATAGAATGGAAGCCTGAGATCTGCCCACTCGGGGTTTCTGGAACTTTCCTGGCTACCCCGGGAGTTGCTCTATTAGCTGGGTGCTTGCGTCTCTGCATTGTAACTCACCTCTTAGCCAGGGGGACAGGAACCCATGACACAGGGCCCATGGGACGAAGTGGGTGCTCCGACACGCCCTGGCTTATCCCCAAGAGCACCACAACCCCAACCCCGCTGACCGGGCATCCTCAGAGAAATCCCCGGAGAGGAGATCACCCTGCGCCCACCGCGTCCCTCCCCGGCGATCACACGGCGGCCCCCCCATGCAGCCGCGGCCCGCGTAACTGTCCGCCCCTCCTTGTCTCCACACCAGGTCTATGAGATTCTGAAAAGAACAACGTGTACCAAAGCCAAGTACAGCATGGGTAAGGACATTTTTGGGGCTTGAGATCAGCGCTGGTTTCCCAGCGGTAATCTCGCCTCGGCATCATCTCGTGGGGGGCGGGCGGCGGCCTGGGAGCTGTTAGAGGGTTTTGATTTAGGGCCCGGGTGACAGCTTCAGAAAGGAGCGCTGTTCCGAGCCGGAACCTCAGGGCGGTTTTACGGGCCACGCTTCCCGGCGCCAAAGCCTCGTCTTTGGCCGGAGGCGTTTGTGAGGTGGTGAGACGCGCTAGGGTGACCAGGTGTCTTAACCCGCTCTTGACCCTCACAGTCCAGCAAGAAGTAGTTAGGGTTCCAGCCGGGGCGATGGCCCAAAGCGGCCCCTCCAAGGCCGGTGCAGCCTCACGCCGGGCCTTGCTGGAAAGTGCTCCCCTCACCACGTGCCCTGGTTCTGCCGCACCACCACCCCATCTGGGCTCCTCGGGAGCCAGTGTCCTGAGCCACACCAATCACAGCATGTGGATGCGCACTGCCCCGCCACCGGTCCCCTGCCCGAAGCTGCAGGCTGAGCTTGCTAATCTGGAACATTCAGGGCAAAGGAATGCCTTTTCTAACCGATTCTCCTTCTCGGTAGGTCCTGGTGGGGACGGTTTATCACGCTAAAGCTGATGTGGTGAGGCCGTGATGAGGGCCTCAGGGTGGGTCGTGTAGGAGCGGGAGGCTGTGCACCCAGGAGAGAGAGTCCTTACCGCCTACTCCCCTCGGAAGGAGGGTGCCCTGGGGGGTGGGGGGAGGAGTAGATGCTCGGCAGCTGACGGTCCTGGACAAGTCCGGGGCTCAGGGTGAGGATGAGCCCTACAGCGTTAGGCAGGCTGTGTGTCCTCTGGCAAGCAGGACCGATGGCCAGTCCCAGAGTCTCGCTTGCAGGCCTGAAATCTCTAAGCCCATGTCCTGAGTCAGAGGGAGTGGGGCCTCAGCGAGGAGTCAAGAAGAACCCAGAATCCCCACAGGCCTGGCCACCCTCAGTAGAGCGAGAGCCTCCGCTATTTCTCTGGCGGGTCTGGTTCCCAGCGCCTGGTGTCAGAGCAGACCGATGTGGGGGGCATCTACTCTGCACCCCCATTTCACATTGGCACCTACTGGCCTCGAGATTATTCATTCAGCGCCTGAGGCATCTATCGCCCGCCAGGCCCCTCCAGGGGCTCCCTGTCCCCAGGGGTCTGCGTTCTGGGGGAGGGAAATAGACAGTAAAACATCAGATGCACCAGGTCCTAAACTTGGCATTGCAGGGCATGGGGAGGCCCGGGATAGGGGTGTGGGGGGGGAGGGGGATAAGGAGGCGGGGGTTGAGAAGGAGTGGTCAGAGGAGGCCCAAACCTGAAGGACGGCAGCTCCGTGTTAAGAGTGTCCTAGGAACAGTGAGGAGCTGGTGACCTTTACCATACCCACATCCTTTTCTTTTCTTTTTTATAATATATTTTTACTGATTTCAGAGAGGAAGGGAGAGAGATAGGAACATCAATGATGAGAGAGAATCAGAGATCAGCTGCCTCCTGCACACCTACTACTGGGGATCGAGCACACAAGCTGGGCATCAAGCCCACAACCTGGTCATGTGCCCGGCCTGGGAATCGAACCATGAACTCCTAATTTATAGTTCAACCACTGAGCCTTGCTGGCTAGGCCCCAGGTCCATTTCTGAATGCAGGCCAACTCACTTGTGTGCAATTTCAGCCAAGTGCTCCCACCTCTCTCTGGTCTGGATTTCCAAGCGCCCTCAGGTGCCCTGACCTTTCCAGATCACCGATTGTGCACACCGTTTTGGGGGGTTTTTTTATTTTATTTTATTTTTTTATTCATTTTTTACAGAGAGAAAGGTAGAGGGATAGAGAGCCATAAACATTGATGAGAGAGAAACATGGATCAGCTGTCTCCTGCACATCCCCTGCTCGGGATGCGCCTGCAACCAAGGCACATGCCCTTGACCAGAATCCAACCCAGGACCCCCCAGTCTGCAGGCCAATGCGCCATCCACTGAGCCAAACCGGCCAGGGCATGGACAAAGTTTTTAAGCAAATTTCCAAAAGTCCCCTTTTCAGCAGTCTCAGAGCAGTGGAAGGCGGGCCGGCCAGGCCAGTGCAAATCCTAACCCACATATTAACTGGAACGCCTCTTGGACCAGGCAGGTGGTTCTGTGATCAACAAGGGGCTTCATGGAAACCCCTCAACGGCATTGAATCCCAAAAATGTGTGTATGTGTGTGGACCAAGACCAGAGACCCAGGACCTGAGCTTCCAGGGCGGGGCACCTTGACCCACACCTCGGGGGTGGGGGTGGGGGGGGGGTCAGGACGTGCAGGCGTGGCTGTTGTGATGCTCTCCGTGCAGGGCCCGGGTCTGCGGACAAAGGCCTGGCTCTCACCCCACTGCCCAGGAGCCCTGGGCCGCGGTGCGCTTTCTCCCCCGATCACTGCTTGGATGCTTTTGCATGTCACTAATAGCCGGATGTGTAAACAGGGCAAGGAGAGGGAAGAAAGAAGGACTCTGCCCTTTTAAGTAAGAGGCGAAAATGTGATAAATACGGTAAGTGCCTCTGCCCCGTGCGGGGCCGCAGGCCTCCCTCCCCGCTGGCTTCTCCAATCAACCTGAAATCTACTTCCAAATTGACGCGTGTTTCTGACAGCCGTCCGTGTTCCTCCCCGTCCGCATTTTCCTCGTGATTCAGCTTTTCTAACCCCTCAAAAAAAAAAAAAAATCATCCTTCTGATCTGCATACGTGGTGAATCTGCAGGTGTGGGGTTTCTTTCTTCCTTGCTCCCTCCCAGACGGAGCCTCCTCTCGGGGTTCCCTGGGTGTCTTTCTCCTTCTGCCGGTAGAGCATGTTGTTGGCATCGAGTCGCTCCGGCAGGTGGCGGGTCTCTGCGGCGAGGTGCGGTCCTCGCTTTCAGAAAGCGCGCGGTGACTGTGGCCGTCCGGGGACAGCTCTGTCGGAACGCAGGGCAGCGGGGGACACGCCCGGTCCTGACCACCCTCTCACTCTGCCTTTATTTTTTTTTTTTTTCAAGGCATCACCAGCCTGCTGGCCAATGGCGTTTACTCGGCTGCCTACCCTCTGCACGATGTAAGTGACCTTGACAACGTGGTTTGCCTCTGCGTCATGTGCCTTCCCAGATCCCCACGGGCCGCACACCCCCTGGCGCTCCAATTACTCTGCGGTCTCGGCTTCCTGCTTTGGCTCGCCCTTAAATGTCAGCGGCGCACAGGCCTTCCCTGTTCCCCCGAGTGGGGACTGAGTGGTACAGGGCCCTCTGTTCTGGAAGAGCAAATCCACCAGGAGCGGTGGTGGCAGAGCCTCTGCCCCGGCTGTATCAAACCGTGACCTTGACCCGCGGTCCAGGACCTGTCTCCCCTGGCTGGTCCCCGCCCCCCCCCCCGCCCCCGCCCCCGGGTCTGGCCGAGCGGCCAGGGCTCTGCATGTTTCTATCTCTGCAGAGCGAGTGGCCGGCTTCCTGAGCTGAATCTCCAAATCCCACTGGGATCCCCCTGACAAATATAGCCCGTGGCCTCGGCCCACGTTGTCTTGGCTCCTCCGGGGCGGAGAGAGCGAGATGATTCCTTCTCATTGTCTCTATGGAAACGGTCCGGAGTTCAGAGGGGCGCTGGGAATGGGCCGCGGGGCCTGAGCAGTGTGGGAATCCGGGACAGAGGATCTCGAACTTTCCAAATGCTCCTTACTGCCCAGGCTAGGAGCCAGGAAGCCGGAGAGGACAGGCCTGGTCCTGATCGCTCCTCTTTGGCGACCATGGAAAATAGCCCCTTGTTGTCTCTGAGCCCCACCGGCCCACTGGGAAGAATACCCGCCCTGTCCCGTTGCCAGGGTCAGTGTGGCTGTCAGAGGGGATGCAGAAAGGAAAGGGGTTTCAGTGGACTGGACAAATGGAGGAGGGTGTGGAACAGCAGAGTGATCCCCGGGACACGGGCCTGCTGCCCCTACCCTCTCCACTCACTGTAGGGATTTGGCTTCCCCACCTTTTTTAAAAATATATATATTTTTATTGACTTTTTAGAAAGAGGAGGAAGAGGAGAGAGAAAAAAAACATCAATGAGAGAGAAACATTGATCGCATGCCTCCTGCACACCCCCCCTACTGGGGATAGAGCTGGCAACCCACCAGGCATGAGCCCTGACAGGGAATCAAACCGTGACCTTCTGGTTCATGGGCCAAGGCTCAACCACTGAGCCCCGCTGTCTGGGCCAGCTTCCCATCTTTGTGCCTTCGTGCATGCTGTTCCTTCTGCCTCTCGTGCTTTTCCCACCTCCTCTGCCTGGACAGCGCCTCCGCCCTCCCAGGACAGACAAAGCATCACACCGACCCAGGCCTGTCTTGTTCCCCTTCCCCACCCTGGGACCTCTCCCTGCCTCCTCGGGCCCTCTGGTGCTCTGGTCCCACCAAGACACCACGTTTGGCCACCGTTCACCGTGTGTGTATCCCGTGAAAACCCGATGCTGGCACCAATGTGGTGTTGACATGGGCTGGACCAAGCCATGTTGCCGGATGGAAGTTTCGAGGGCAGGGCTCAGGCCCCGCAGATCCCACCATGGCTCCTGCCTCCTCCCACAGAGCCAGGGGGTCAGGGGGGCTTCGCTCACCCACCCGTCCTGCGCTCAAGCCACTCAGTGTCCAGTCCCACCGGCACCAGGAATGCCACCCTCTCCTTCACCCAGGTGGCCTTTGAACTGAGGACTCCTGGCAAGGGTCAGGGGCACAGAAGCAGAAATGTGCCTGTTTTAAGCCAGACATTAAAAGGGAAAGGGGAGGGAGAAATCAACATTTCTGAGCACCTACTGTGTACAAAGAACTGTATTTAGTAGGAGCTTTACCTTATTTACTCCAGTGCAGACAAAGGAGACCCAGAGAGGTTTGGCAACTTGACTGAGGTCACACAGCCTCTGGGGAGAGTTAGGGCCAGGAGCCAACCCTCTGACCCTGGGCTGTGCCTCCCTCCCCTAGTGTGACCACCACCTCGTTCTTCCCTGGGCACCAAACGCACACCTCCCTCCCCCATCACTGCCACTCGAGTCTGTCTGCAGTGTAAGCAAACTGTTCCCACTTTATGGATGGGGAAACTGAGGCTGGAGTTGCTGGGAAAGACAGCCAATAAGAAGTGGAGCCTGGGGACCGGTTTGGCTCAATGGATAGAGCGTCGGCTTGGGGACTGAAGGGCCCCGGGTTCGATTCCAGTCAAGGGCATGTACCTTGATTGCGGGCACATGCCCAGAAGGGGGTGTGCAAGAGGCAGCTGATTGATGACTCTCTCTCATCGATGTTTCTAACTCTCTATCTCTCTCCCTTTCTCTCTGTACAAAAATCAATAAAATATATATATATATATATATATTTTTTTTAAAAGAAGCCCAGATCCTCTGGTTCCATGCCAGGGTTCTTTCCAGCCAGGTTCTGGACTTGGGCGTCTTGAGGGAATACAGAGTTTTATATCCGTGAATTTCCCATACAGTTGGAGGACACCCACCTCCTTCAGCACCAAAGCTGGCGTTCAGACATCGCTGTGAGCAGGCCAAGGGCCCCCGTGCCCTTAAACAGAGACCAATGCCCACGGCGAAGGCGCAACCTCCTTGGCCGGAGCAGGCTCCTCGCACGTGCTGTGTAGCCCTAGCTCTTTCAATCCTTTCCATCTCAGGCACACGTGGCCTAATTACTAAAATCCCATGGCAATCTTTTGCATGTAACTAATAACCGATGTTACAGCATGTAAGTAATAGCCGATGTCCAGCCCCCCATACGTGTTTTTAAATCTGGCAACAACAACAAGACATATATATAATTTTGATTCATTCACATGGGAGAGTTATTGTGTTGGCCGCTATCATTTTTTAGTTGACAGTCTAAGGTCAGTGGTCGTCAAACCGCAGCTCGTGAGCGACACGCGGCTCTTTGGCCCCTTGAGTGTGGCTCTTCCACAAACTACCACGGCCTGGGCGAGTCTGTTTTGAAGAAGTGGCGTTAGAAGAAGTTTAAGTTTAAAAAATTTGGCTCTCCAAAGAAATTTGAATCATTGTACTGTTATTTGACTCTGTTGACTAATGGGTTTGCCGACCCCTAGTCTGAGGGAAAAGCAGCCAGTGCGCATGACTGAATAATCAGGTATTGCATGTTTAACAGTTCTTGTGGCGTGCCGGGTGGAAATCTGAATTTCTCACCCCCCGTCTCACTCACCACTCAGGTGCTTAGCATCACTGCTCGCTGCCCTCCCTGCATGCCCACAGTATCCCCACCCGCTTCCAGGGCCTGGCTCACTGCGTCCGTCCATTCATTCATTCGTTCGTTCATTCATTCATTCATCCATTCATTCAGCAAGATCATCTGTCAGCAAGGTGTGCGGTGCCGGTGCCAACCAGAGGACCCCTGCCGACATGGTTGTGCTCTGAGCGAGACCCCAGGAGGTCTCCGTAATCAGTGTGTCAGCTGCAGAGAACGGACTCTGGCATTTCAGCTGGCCGCTCGGCAGCTTTTGGGCTTCCTTCCTAGTTGGCACCTCCCTGCCTGGAGGTCACTAGCTCACTGACCTCCGGATGGATGTACTGTGGGGCCCACGTGGCTGGCTTCTCCATGAGAAGATTGACAGGGTGGGGAGAGGACAGTGGTTCCACTGCTCTCAGAGCATCTCCCTGCCAGGACCAGGTGGTGGGTTGCTTGCCAGGGGGTCCAGTCTTCCTCGCCTGGAGGGGGCTGGCAGTGGAACGGGCAGTGGGCACGCCTCCAGAAAGCCTCAGAGCTCTATCTGCCGGGCAGTTCTCAGGACCAGCCTGGCTAGGCCCTCACTGAGCCCCTCTGTGGTGGCTCCTGTTGAGTCAGCGCCGGGGCATGGGACTCACTTTTGACTTTTGGACCCTCCTTTTCCACTGCCCTTGGAGACGGGATCTGAATCCCAGGTTGGATCAAATTCAGCCTTCCTCTCCTCAGGAAAATCAATGAGCCTCAATGTTTCCATCTGTAAAATGGAAGGCTTGGGCTCACTGATCTGTACGTGCAGCTACCATATCATTTATCATCCCTCCTGGGACACATGAGAGTGACAGGGGCCCATCAGGACAGGCCCTGGGACCATCCTGCAGAGCAGAAGGTGTGTTCACCCTATTGATAGATTCTCCAGCCCCAGAAGCCACCGCCAGGGACCTGGCCACAGTCCTTCCTCGGACTTTGCCTCTGGGTCGGAAGGAGGGCAGGGCACGCGGGACACGAAGTGATTTGCATCATGGAGGGAGGCCTGGACCACCTCCTGCTCCCTGTGAAGTCTTGTCCTAGAATGATCTTAGCCGGGCCGGTGCGTGTTTGTGGAGTCTGTTTGGAAAACGTTGGGAATGGAAAGTACTCGAGAGTAAACATCCCTTTTCCCTTTTCCAACAGGGCGACTATGAAGGTGAGGACGTGGAGTTCAACGACAGAAAAGTAAGTGGACACGAGGGAGGGAAGGGGTCCGGCAGGGTCTGGAGGGGCCCCCGGGCCTCGGGAGGGGCGGGCAGGCGGGCTGCGCCGTGGGCATCGGTGGTGACAGGGCGTCTGCTCCCGCGGTTGAGGGAGGATGTCGGTGCGCTCTGTTTGGTTGGTTTGCTCCTTCTGATGCTCAGAAACGCCGATGGCAGGTTATCTGTGCTCCTCATAGGCTTCCCGGGCCCGGCGGGGGTAAACCTGTGTCTTACCCAGGATAAGGCCCTGCCCCGGGCAGATAAGTTCGGGCACCGCTGTGGCCACCTGCGTGGAGAGCCCAGGCAGCACCTGGGGAAACCCAGTGTTTCTCAAACTTACTTGACATGGAACCCTTTCTAAGGGACAACTTATTGAGCTCGTGTTTATGGGAGACGCGCTTTGGAAAAGGGATTCCTGCCTTCCCCAGGGGGTGTTCCTGATTGCAGCCCCCAGGCTCTCCAGGAAGCTCTGTTCCTCCACCCCCTCCCACCCCACTCACATAAACATCGTGCCACCACTGCCACTTCTCCTCCCTCCACACTCGGGAAGGTCCTGTGCCCATGCCCAGACCCCAGCCTCGCTCCGGGCTCTGGGTCATCCCTCTCGGTTCCCCAGACAAGCTCAGACCTCCCTCCCCTCGGGGAGCAGCCCTCCCCGGGCCCTGGGTCTCTCTCGGCCCCCTGTCCAGCCTCTCCCCCCAAGAGTGGATCCCTCCGAGGTGGAGGGCAGAGACGCTTCCCCGAGAGCCTCTCGGCGGTGGCCTGGTCCCAGATGGCAGGGCCAGGAACCTCTGGCTCCGGAATGTTCCTCCCTCCCTCCCCCTCCGGCCCCCCATACGTGTTTTTAAACCTCCGGTGCTTGATCCAACTTGCCCGCCCCGGGATCCAGCTGAAGATGCTATCTGGGCTAGCGCAAAATTACATATTTGGTTATTTTTAGTGGAACATCTGGCATCCGTCTGAGACCCCATGACTTGCAGAGCTCCCCCAGCCCCTCCCCAGGCCCGGCCCGGCCAGCCCGGCCTCAGAGGCCCCCTTCCTCTCTCTGTGTGCCCCTTTGGCCCCATTGACCCCTGTCTGGCCCAAGCCCATCCTCCAGGTCCCTCCGCCCGCGTCCCTCCCCCTCCCTCCCTGCGCTCCAGCCACACTGGCTGCCTTGCCAGTCTGAGGGCTCCTCGGACAAGGATCACAGACAGCAGTGCCAACACTGCCTCCCCCGTTGCTTCTGCAGGAACTATTTACTGAACACTGTTGTGTGCCAGGCCCAGCCAGCACGGCACCCAGTTCACCCAGACCCACCTGTTCTCTGCCCGGAGAGCTGCCAGCCTCCATCTCCTTTTTAATGTTATGCCCCAGCAATAAGCACACAGCCTGGCCCGTGGGGCTAGTCAGGGAGTATTAGATGGGTGGATGCATGGGTGGGTGGGTGGGTGGACAACAGACAAGTAGATAAAAGTGTGGGTGGATGGATGGATGGATGGATGGACTAAAGGAACACAGAGAGGGAGGCCGGGAGGGAGGATGCCCAGTCAGGTGTTTGGGTCCTCACTCCGAACCCTAGAGCAGTGGTTGGCGAACTGCGGCTCGCGAGGCACATGCGGCCCTTTGGCCCCTTGAGTGTGGCTCTTCCACAAAATACCTCGGCCCGGGCTAGTCTGTTTTGAAGAAGTGGCGCTAGAAGAAGTTTAGGTTTAAAAAAGGTGGCTCTCCGAAGGAATTTCCGTCGTTGTGCTGTTGCTATTTGGCTCTGCTGACTAAGGAGTTTGGGGACCACGGCCCTAGAGAACCTCTCATTTTCCCATGAGGACCCCCCCCCCCCCGTTAAGGGACCCGGTTCTGACTATTTTGCCTTTCCAATGACAAAGTCTGTGGCATCCTGTCAGTGTCAGGAGCCCGTGTGGCTGGCCCCAGGGACAGGACGGGAAGGGAATCCCAGGCAAACCAACGCCATCTTCCTGGCTGAGCTGCAGGAGCAGGGGCCCAGCAAGAGGCAGGTGCTGCCCCAATGGGAGGGGGGGGGGTATGGCTCTCCCCTCTGCACCCAGGCGCCTCCTTCAGGAGTGGATTATGATGGCTCCATCCCGAGTTGGACTGAGCCACAGGGCCAGACCCATCCTCCCTCCCTCCCTCCCTTCGTGCATTCATTCATCCATTAGGCAGTTACTGACTGGAAACCTGTTATCTGGCCCAGGCCTTGTTCGAAGGGTTGGGAAGGGGGAGGGGGTACGGGTGGCACAGACAAAACAAGCCTGGTCTTCCTGGGGCCTCCATTCAGGAAGGGGGGACATGGCAAAGGGCAAGTACGTACACAGCCATTAAGAACTGGGCCAGTGCCCAGCCTGTGGGCCCGGGGGTGGGGGAGGTCTGGGCAGGAGGAATGCTGGCAGGCAGAGCTGAGACCCCTCGGAGGTCTGGGTGCAGGGTGCGCTAGGTCACTGTGACTGGAGCCCAAGCTCCGCCCCCCCCAAGGGCCCCGGCGCCTCCCACCTTCTCCGGAGGCTGGGGTGCACCCCGGGAGTCCTGCCAACGGCAACAGGGAAATCTTCAGTCAGATTTCTCGGCCCTGACAGCTATAGGGTGATGGATGTTCTCTCCTTGGCAGGAAGAGAACTCCGGCGAGGTAGAGTGGCTTATGTAGCAATCGGGGCGTGCCCGTTTGGCACGGCGGTGGGTGCATGGTGGCCGGGCCCCCCCCCCCAGCAGGTTCGGGGACACGGTGACTGGCGTGGCATGGCCATGCCTTCGAGAGGTTCTCCGGGCTTTCCCACTGTGCCACCCCTCCCCGGGCCAGCCTTCCTTCTCTCTCTCCCTCCCAGGATCCCTCCCTCACCCTCCCCCCTCCCTCCTTCTCCCCCTCCCCCCTCGTTCCCTCCCTCTCTCCCTTTTCTCTCCCTCCTTCCCAGCACCTCCCATGGGGCCTGTCTGTGATATAAATCAGCGACTTGTTTTCAGCCAAGGGAGGAAGCCGCCCGGGACAGGGATGGCCATGTTGCTTCTCCGGGGTGCTGGGCAGTCCCATCGAAGGCACAGACCTCCCGTTCACAGCGTGCGGCCGTGGCTGGGCCTCGTTTCTGCACAGCCTGGCGTGAGAGCCAGGGAGCCCGGCTCGGTGCCTTCCATGGAGCGCCCTCGGTGCATGTGCATGAGGCCGGCCAGGGTCGTGCTGTGGCCGGCAGGAAGGACAGCGCCCTTCCGTACCAAAGAGGCGACGGGACTCTGGGGAGAGCCCGGATGCCCGCCAGGACTCAGTGGTGAGGGTCTGCCCAGGATGGCCGCTCCAGACTCAGCCGAGCCAACCACGCTCAGGGCACCGCGGGGGAGGTCCCGTGCATCCTGGTTCCCTGCCCGAAGCTGCAAAGCTCCCCTCTCCCCCATCCCCTCCCCCTCCCCCTCCTCCAGCAGCAGGACTGGAGGTCCGAAGGCAGCTTCCCCCATAGAGACCAGAGCAGGCAGAGCGCAGGGTGCTGACAGCCAGGTTCGCTGGGATTTACGGCGACGGCGCTCCGCTCTCCTGCGCTCTCTCCTCCCCGCATTTAGAGGTGCGTGTGGAGCACTGACGGGCTCAGAGCCTCTCTTCCTCTGGCCAGGGAGGCCGGTGCTCTCAGCCTCGGCGGGGGGCCCCTCGGAAGCGGAGAAACTGGCCGGGGCCATTTCTGGGGAGCCCTGGCTCCCTGGTCTGTGGAAGCTGGACCCACCCACTAAGCTTTGTACACTTTGTTTTTAATTTTCGAAGACTTGAATGTACGTCGGTGCCCAGAAAAGGAGGAGAGTGTGCTAGCTCAGGGGCTGCAGGCACAGGCTGTGTGTGCAGAAGGGTGGCGTACGCAGCAGACATTGGGTCTCGCGGCGCTGGAGGCTGGAAGCCCGGGGCCCAGGTGCCACCGGGGTGGGGCCCGGGAGGACTCGCCTTCTGGCTTGCAGGCAGCCACCTTCTGGCTGCGTCCCCACAGGGCCTTTCCTCCCTTCGTGTGCGTGGAGAGGGACGCTCCGGCTTCTCTTATCGGGGCACCGGTCCTGAAACATCCGAACCCCTCTTTCATGGCCTCTTTTAACCTTAGTTACTTCCCAAATACAGTCACACGGGACACATGCCTTCAGTCCATGGCACAGAGTGCTTGGGGTGATGAGGTTAGATGGGGCCACAGCAAAATCTGAGCCGAGGCGACCCCCCCCCAATTTTTTAATTGAGCCTAGGAGACCCCCCAAAAAAAATATTTAAACTATTGAGAAAAGAAAGGAGGATACAAGGCACGCTGCAGCATCCACAAGAGACCCTGGCGAGTCCTCACGGGCATGCGCAGCAGAGACAGGTGGCGGGGTAAGGAAGGCCGGGGCGGGGGGGGGGGGGGGGGGAGGCTCCGCTCCCCTGCAGCCGGCCCTGTGACCTTGGGCTTGGCGTTGAGGCTGGGAAAGCACGAATCGCCCGTGTGCGTGGGCTTTCCTCCTTCCAGCCAGCAGTCCTGACACGCAGCGTCCCTGGGACCCCCTGAGCGCGTTCACACACGGCTCCCGAGCCGTCCCTCTCATTACCGTTCCTGCCCGCAGCCCGGGGTGTGTGTGTGTGTGTGTGTGTGTGTGTGTGTGTGTGTGTGTGTGTGTGTTTGACGGGTGTGTGCAGACTTCATTTATTTCACTACGTGTCTTAATCAGACAGCCCGTCTCCAGAGACAAACGTCGAGCTCGGTGCATCGCACGCAATTTTTCTTTTCTTTTTTTTCCTTAATCTTGCCACTTTCATTTCTTCGCTCCAAAGCCGAGTGGGTTCTGTCCGTTAGCTCGATGGTTCCAGGTGTGACAGGGACAACCGGGAAACATACGTGGAAAAGCCTCTTTCCCATCCCCAACCCCATCGCAGGCCTTCAGCTCCAGCTCAGCAGCCCCCAAGGGTGGGTGCTTTGGGGCTCTTCCCAGAGCTGACGGCCGGACCCCGTTTTCCCAGGTCCACCTCCCCCACCAGGACAGGGGCCCGGGGCCCGGGGCTGTGTCTGCCCAGCTCCCCTCTGAGAGCCCGGGGCCCAGCACGGTGCCTGGCCCTTCCTTGGCCGCCTCTCGCCGGTGTTGGTTGAGTGAATAGAGGAGGTGCCTGTGAGCAGAGAGCACCAGCCCTGTGCTCTGGGGAGGGACCTGGGAGCACCCCACGCTCACCAGCCCCCGCCGCTCTCTCTTCCCCAGCTCCTGTACGAAGAGTGGGCCAGCTACCGGGTCTTCTATAAGTACCAGCCCATCGACCTGATCAGGTGAGGGGGAGCCGCCTGGGGTAAACCTCCCCCTGTGTCCCAGCTGCCCTGGCTGTGCCGTGCCTGGGGCCCTGTTTGAGCTTGCCCCGAGGTCTCGCGGCAGGACCGGCGGCCTCAGTGTACGCAGCTCCTCGGAGCTCATGGGAGGATGGGCTCTTGCCTCGTCCTCGCCGTCTCCTCCTCATTTCGCAGCCCGGCCTGACTCTGCTGGGCGGCGGGCCAGGCCCTCGCCTCGTCGCTGTGCCGAGAGGCAGGAAAGAATGTGTCCTCTCCCAGGGGACCTCTGTCCCCAGGGCAGGAAGGGGGTGGGCCGGAGTCAGCCGTGCGTGTCCTCTGGGGACAGGGAGACCAGAGCTCAGCCCGTGAGCAGCCGTGTACACCCATCACGGCATCCAGGCCAGAGTGCCAGCGCCACGCTGAGCCAGGCTTGGAAGGAAGCTGGCAGCCTCCTGGGCCATGCATCGTGCCCACCAGCATGCAAACACCTGCCCCAGGGCACAGAGAGAGGGGGCGGGCGTAGGGAAAGCGGGGAGCACCCCGAAACCTGGTAGCCTGGCTCAGAGCCCCGCCCACTCTCTACTTCCTGGCCCAGAGAAGCAGGGGCAGATTTGAGCTGTTCCCTGCAGGGGAGGGGAGGGGACGTGCCTCGCACCCGTGCAGCATGAGTGAGCTTGTCTCTCTGGCTTCGCCCGCGTGCAGGAAGTACTTTGGGGAGAAGATCGGCCTGTACTTCGCCTGGCTGGGCGTGTACACCCAGATGCTCATCCCCGCCTCCGTGGTCGGGGCCATCGTTTTCCTCTATGGATGCGCCACCGTCAATGAAAACATCCCCAGGTAGGCGGGGCCTGTCCCAGGACATGCCCATCCCTGCGACCGCCGTGGGCCTGCTCAGGCCCCAGCCCTCCGGCTCCAGCACTCAGCCCCGGACATGGCATGCTGGCCGTGTGCTGTCAGGGCAGGCCCCAGGGCAAGGGGCTTACCTGCCATGTGAAGGCCGGGCATCCTTTTCGGGCACAAACACCCTAGGAGCCGTTTTACTGTCGAAAGCAGACAGGAGACAAAGCTCCTTTTCTTCCTTGAAGTTTTCTTCCCCCTTTTAGTTCCCAGTCCTCAGAGGACAGGAAAATCCCCCGCCTCCTGTGAGGTTGGGAAATACAACAAACGCCATTCATGGGCCTCGGGCAGGGGACTCGGCTGGTCTCTCTCCTCCTCGGACCCCGAGTCTCGGGAGGTGAGGCGTGAACAGCAGACCAGGCCTCTGCACGCAGAACCCACGCCCCTGCTGCCGTCCACCACGGCCAGGGCAGGCCGGGCACGAGGGAGAAGGCCGAGACTCTAGGGACATCGGGCTTCATGCTGGGGGGGTGGAGGGAGGTGTCTCCCAGAGTGACAGCCAGAACGAAAGTCAAATTGCACAGAGCTCAGAGGGCCCTGTCCCCGCATGCACAGAGCTCGGGGGACCCTGTCCCACGTGCACAGACGCCTCCCCTCCTTTCTAGTTAGTCCTAGACCTGCCAACACCAGCCCCAAGACAGCCAGGTGGTGTGTGAGGACGAGAGGCCGCTGTACCCCTGGGCAAACTCCAGTTTAAAAGGGCGGGTGCCCCTGGCCCTGCCTCCCAGAGCTCCCAGTCTCTCTGGAAAAGCCCTCAGACATCAGCTCAGCTCCATTCCCCACGACTCAGCCCCGAGTCCCGGAGGCCGAGCTGCGGCTTGGAAGGGCGTCCACCGTCCAATCATGAGGAGTGGCTCGTAGGGCCCACGGCCCAGAGGGGCCGTATCCAGGGGACCTCGCGTAAATGTTTTAAGATGTGAATAGCACCTCACACACGTGTCAGTGTTTCCACACGTGAATCACACCTACGAGCCATCCACTCGGGACCTAACGGTTAAGGGAACCGGCTTGTTTGGGGCCCGGGCGGGAGAAAGCCTATCCCTTTGTTTGCTGGTGTGACATGAGGTCACTGGGCTCGGGCGTGGCTGTGGCGAAGATGAAAGTGGCCTAATTGGGCTGGGGATCGGATACTAAAGCCCTGAGGGACGTGGCCGGTGGAAGCTGGGGTGCCCTCAGGGTCCCCCTGGGAGGCCACAGAGGCCGCCCCCTTCCCTCCCCCCTGCAGGGGGTGCAGAGCCAGCTCAGGCTCTGCCCAGGCAGGCGTGCATTCCCCTTGAGGGCGCAGTGACCTCCCAGGCCAGGCCAGCGCCTCCACCGCCTGCCACACTGCCAGAGGCAGACGGCGCTTACCGGGGACTCCTGAGTCTCCTCAGACCTCAGCCCATGATGTGGGGGGTGTTCCTCGGGGAAGGGGGGTCTGATCCGCCCTTTTACCCACTCTGAGAACAAGCCACCCAATTCCTGGTCTTTATTTTGGCTGAGTGGTGAAGGGAGAGGCGGAGGATTTAAAACTGGCAGAAAGCGGGCTTTTAGTCTGGCTGGCAGGGGGAAAGCTGTGGCAGCCTCAAGGCTCACAGCCGGCAGCGATGGGGCCAGCCCTCCGTGGGGTGTCTGCCCCTCACACATGGGTTCCTTCTGCCTCCCAGCAGAGGCCCCCAGAAGACGGAATCCCGGGGAGAGGCAAGGGATGGACCCCTCAAGGTGGCCCACGGGCCTCCTTTCAAAATCACTGCAGCTGCTCGGTGCCCGATTACTCCCGTAATAGGCGTGTGATCTGCACGTGCCAGCTCTGTTCCAGGACTCCACGCTCACTCCGTGCGACCCTCCTGACAACTCAGTAACACGGGCACTCTTCACGCTCAGCATCCCCATGCTGCAGATGGGGAAACTGAGGCCCAAAGAGTTGGAGTAACATGCCCGAGGGCACACAGGTCCAATCCAGAGCTGGCTGGCTGCACACTGCCCTGACACCGGCATGCACCCACCCCTCACGCACACGCACACGTAGACACATGTACATGTATGCCCAGCTCCCCAGCTGCTCCAAGCCAGCAGCCTTGGTCACCATGCATCTTTCCATCCCCTGTGCCCAGCACAGAGCTGGGCACACACTGCACATGCAGAGTTCTTTCATAGGCATTTGTGAATAATTAAAAGGACAGAATGGGGCCTGAGTGCCCACTGTGCCGGGAAGAGACATTTATAGACACCCACTGACGGACATTTATAGACACCCACTGACGGCTATGGGCCAGCTGTGATTCGGTGCATAAAGCTGTGCATCAGAAACATAAAACAAAAAACAATCCCCTTCCCCCCGCCCCAGCCTTCTCCCGGATGGCCCTCTCCTCCCTGGGAGTGACTCCTGCCTGGCTCACAACCCAGTCACGTGAGCACGCTTCACTCTCAGCGTCCCCACGCTGCAGATGGGGACACGGAGGCCCCAGTTCTGTCCACGTCCGTGGGAGGAGGGCTACGCGCTCCCCTCACCTTCCAGAAGGTTTAAGGGACTGGCCAGGGGCACCGCGACCTGGCCGGGCAGTCCTGGTGGGCCGGCAGAGACCCTCAGCGGCTCCCTCTCTTCCAGCAAAGAGATGTGCGACCAGAGCCACAACATCACCATGTGCCCGCTGTGCGACAAGACCTGCAGCTACTGGAAGATGAGCTCGGCCTGCGCCACGGCCCGGGCCAGCCACCTCTTCGACAACCCGGCCACCGTCTTCTTCTCCGTCTTCATGGCTCTCTGGGGTAAGCTGAGGGCCGCGCCCCCGCCCCACCCCGGGCCGCTGGGGCCCAGGCGGCGTGGGGGCTGCCCACAGACGGCTCATGTGGGTGAGCACGGAGGGAGGTCGTGGACACAACCCCCCGCTTTACCTGCCGTTCCCAGGGTCTCCGCCGCGTCGCGGCTGCCGGTATTCTGAGTTACTCTGAGCCAGCCAGGAGCCCCTGGGAAACAGGCCTCTCTCCTGGGGCCCGGCTCTGGGGCCCGGAAAGGCCGCCGCTTTAGAGCAGGAGGCCTGGCTCTGCGTTCCTCCGGCTGAGCCAGCCCCGGGCATGTGTCTCCTTCGCCGGCGGTTCTCGACCTTCCTCACGCCGCGACCCTTTCCTAGTTCCTCAGGGTGCGGCGGCCCCCAACCATAACATTGTTTTCGTTGCTAGTGCTGCATAAGCGTGATTCTGCTACTGTTATGAATCGTAATGTACATACCTGTGTTTGCCGGTGGTCTTAGGCGACCCTGCTAGCGGTGCTCAACCTGCAGTCGCAACCCCCAAGCCCTGCTCTGTGCCCTCCCCTTGTGCTCGGGGCCCTCTGTGAATCCTCTCACTGCACCTTCAGAGAGGAGCGCTAGCTTCAGTGAGCTGCGCCAGGCGCTGTTCATCACCCCCCCCTCCCCCCGCGGCTCTAAGAGGTACTGCCTCCATCACCCCATTTGACAGATGGACACACTGAGGCAATTTCCCAAGCAGACACCACTAATCAGAGGCACAGGGAGACGAGAACCCTGCATCTGCTCCCCACCTCCACCCCTGGGCTCTGCCCCCTCTGCTGGTGTCACTCACAGCTCTGGTGCCAAGCACTCTTAGCACCCACAGCTCACATGTGTGCTGGACTGGCTTCCTCGTCTGCCCACCACGCCTGCCTCCCCGTCCAGAGCCTGCGCTGAGGACTGGCTGTGCCAGGCGCTGGCAGAGGCTCTGCTCGGCTTATCTCGGCGACTCCACCTCGGCGCACAGCAGAGGGAGGCTCTGTTCGTATTCTCTCGTGAGGACACGGAAGCCCAGAGAGGTTACGTGACTTGCCCAAGGTCACACAGCTAACAGGCTTATACCAGACATGACCGATCTGTGCCCCGGTCATACCTCTCCACCCCGGCGTCCTCCAAGCCCTGCTCTGTGGCCTCCTGGAGGAGCCAAGGTCCACCCAGAGCGGGTTGTGAGGGCACGCAGGCAGCAGCACTGCTCGCCCGGCCAGTACCACAACGTTCGGGGTAAATCCGGTAAATCCGGTGCAGCCCCTTCCCTGCCACCAGCTTGGCCTCTTCACACAGCTTTATTGAGCACCTACTATGTGCAGAGCAGTGCTGCTCCACACCCTCGAAGGTGTTGGCCAGCCCTCCCCAACAGCCCATCCCTGGTTCCTTCTGCACCACCATCACCGCCGCCCCCAGGAGGGTAAAGGGCAAATCTGTCTCGCTATCTGCCCCAGCCTCCTCCAGCCCCCCTTCCACCTGGGAGGCGAGTGGGCCTGTCTGTCAGAGTCAAAAGCAAGTTCAGTCTACACTTTCCCAATCGGGAGGGGGGAGTAACAGAAAAGCCAAACACTCCTGTGAAGCACTGACTTCAGGAGAAAAGGAAGTTGTTAGAAATCAAGACAGAAGCTACGGGAAAGAGTGTGCTGGGCTGAGAGGGGTGTGTGCTCTGTGCGGCCACCCCAAACGGGGGTGGAGGATAGGGGTGGGGCACGGTTCCTCGGTCCCAGGACTTTCGCTGCTGGTTTCTGAATCCCGTGCTCAAGTGTTCCTTCATCACCGCCCACTGTGTCTTTTCTCCTCTGTCCTCCAGCTGCTAACGTTACCGCTCACACAGTGACAGAGGGCGGCCCCAAACCCGTTTCTGCTGGGAGGGGCGCGGGCTGTGCCCCCGTAGGCAGGGCTGCCAGCCGGGGTTCTAATCTCGCTTCCACGCCACGGAGGCTGTGGGCCCAGAGCCCTCAGCTCCCTGCTGCCTGGAATTTATGACATTTCAAAGCCTCAAATTAGGCGTCACACACACAGCAACTTAGAGGAGCCCCATTTAACTGTTTTTCCAGGACCCATTCTCTGAAATGATGGCATAATCGTGGGCTTTCGCTGCCTGTCAGCTTCGTGCAGAACAAAGGGAGGGATTTGGTTTGAGCCCGGCCCCAAGGAGCCGGAGAGCCATGGTCCCCGCTTGAATGAAATGGCAGAGGCAGGACCAAAACCCCTGCCCCGGGGGCCGGCGCGGAGTGGGCAGAGGACCCGGCTGAGGCACCCTGAGCTGGAGGGACGCAGGGAGAGCTACGCTGTGGTTTCTGCTGGACTCAGTGAGACCGTGGAGGGCTGGGGGCCTTCGTGCCTGGCCCACGTCCCCACAGGGGCTGACAGGCAGGGCCGGGTCTGCTCTCCACTCTCAGGAAACGGATGTGCGTTGAGCAAACATGTGGCTGTTGGGAGCCGCCGTTCACGAAGCTGGTCTCTATTCCAGGAGGCTGTGCTTTAAGGAGGATGCGGCCCTTAAGGATGTTCAGTCTGAGTGATGGAGACCAGAGGGTTGGGAGACAAGGCCCCAGGCCCTGGGAGCTCTGACCTCCCCGGGGAGGCGGCAGGTCTGCCCGCAGCGGCAGGAGCACCCAGACCGGTCAGAGCCCTGCCTTTCGGTCTGAGACTCCAGCGGCAGGTCTGAGAGGTCCTGGTGACCCCCTGGCACAAAAGGCGGCGGGGAGGCCAAGCCTGGGCATCCCCGGGACCTGCAAGGTCACCCCCAGTCACAGCAGCAGTATTCGGGGGGGGGGGGAGGGGGTGCTCAGGAGAGGCCTCCAGTGGCCCGCGGAGAGGCATCCAGAATTAGGGAAATTGGAGGCAGGCCCAGGCGGAAGACAGTGGGGACAGGTCAGGACAGGGCCCCCTTTCTCCCTACCCCTTCCCCACCCACTCCCCCCACCCCCCGGGCACCGGGTGGATGCAGCCTGGGAGGAAGCTGAAACAGAGGTGTGGGGGAGGGCAAGTAAGCAGCCAACTCATCGCTGGGCAGGGATGGGTGGGAAGAAGAACAGGCGATGGAGGGTCAGTGTTTCTGCATGCCCCGGGCCCCAGGGCAACCGGCACAGCTGGTTCCGGACACAGCCACGGGGCCCGGAAATCTGCATTTTCACAAGCCCCCCGGGGGGGACTCTGATATCGCAGGTCCCAGGCCCGCATTCTGAGAAACCCCGGAGGAAAGCGGTCCATTTCCCCTGCTTTCCAGGTGTGGCCGGTGACCAGCCGGAAATCTGTCCTCCGTGTTCTGTGATCCGATGCCACCTTGATGCCACCCCTTGTCAGACTATCCCTCTGAGCCTCAGTTTCCTCCTCTGGGAAAGGAGGAAGGAACAGCACCTCCCTCCTGTGGTTCCCGGGAGGCTGATGGGTACTTGACAGGACAGCCCTCCCTGTAGGCCTGACTCGGGACCGCTTGACCATTGCGCACCCCCAAACTTCCTTCCTGGGGAGAAGCATTGAGGGTGAAGGGTGCAGCCAGTTGCCTCTCCCGTTGCAAGCTGTGTGCTCGTGAAAGCTGTTCGCTCATTCAGTGAGTGCCCTGAGCTCCTGACTGTGCCGGGTGCTCGGCCGGGTGCCGGGGACCCAGGGCCCTGCCCCCGCCCCCACGCGAGAAGGGCCCCTTGACACGGGACGGGGGTCGTAATGGAGGGCAGTGTGGACGGTGTGAGCAGGAGAGGCCTTCTGACACTGAGGAGGAGCGTCGGGGGGGGGGGGCTCCCTGGAGGAGGCAGCGTTCGGCCTCTGCTTAGTCGGTTGGGTGCGGCGCAGGAGGTGGCGCCCAAGAGCATGCTCAGCAGCCAGACCACCGGCGTGGGTTTGGAGCTCGAGTGCGTGGCCGTGGCTCTCCCCTCTCGCTTTCTGGCCACAGGAGCGCCACCGGGGACTTGGGGGTCCCCAAGCTCTATGGAACGGGGCGGTTAAGAGCCCGGGCTGGCCCCTCACTGGCTTGGATGGGTAACCTTGGCCAGGACTTGATTTCCCTGTGCCTCAGTTTCTTCCTCTGTAAAAGGGGAACGTGGCCGTCCCTGCCTCGGGGGACGGGGTCGGGGCGGGGGGGGGGGGTTAGCGTTCCCATGGCCCAGCACGATGGCACCCCCCCCTCCCCAAACGGTGCAGAAGCCAAGGAGGCATGAGTGCCGCCCAGTGTCTCGGGCTGCTCGGCCCTGACTTTGTGGCGTTCCTCCCCCTGCCGCAGCCGCCACCTTCATGGAGCACTGGAAGCGGAAGCAGATGAGGCTCAACTACCGCTGGGACCTCACAGGCTTTGAGGAGGAGGAGGTGAGTGGGGGCCCTGCGCCCCCCCCCCCGCCCCCCGCCCGTTAGCGCCTGGGAGGCCCCGGGCCCAGGCAAGGCCGCTCCCGCCGGCTCCTCGGCTCACATCCCTGGTGTTTGAATCACCCACGGTTGCCAGGGCGACCGTTTGATGTCTGTCGAGTGTTTCTGATCTCCATGCTCGCCTGGACGCGCCGCCCACCAGTGCGGTCAGGGCCGGCTCGCCGCGCTGACCTCATCGGACCCGGGGGAGGCCGGCCGGGCGAGTCTGGGAGGGAATCGCCACCGCCCAGGAGGCCGGGTCCCCGAAAGCGGCTGTGAGCCTCTGCCCGGTGCCAAAGCCACGCTCCCAGTGCCAGTCCCTGGGCGCGGCTGAGCCGAGCCTTTCCCAGCCGAGGGAGAACCAGACGCCGCATCATCGCTTTCCCAGGACAGGGCCCCGGGGCCGGGGGCGGCCGAGAACCGCTCCCGAGGTTCCTCGGAGAAGCCTGGCCGCTGCCCTCCGCGTGGGCAGCTCCCGCTGGCATTCCCCGTGGGAGGAGCGGTGAAGACAGGGAAAGGCAGCCCCCCCACCACCCCCGCGCCTGGCGCCCACTGAGCAGGGCGGCGAGGTGTGGCCACGCTGGCCGCCACTTAACTTAACGAAACGCCGAGCTTGTCTTTTAAAGCGAGCGCTCTGCATGTTCCCTGGAACGTGGCCTCTCCCCGTCGTTTCTCAGCATCCCTATGTTTCCCCCACACGTGAGCTGAGGAGGAGCGTGGGGGGCTCCCTGGAGGAGTCTGCCCGCTCGCCTTCAACAGGGGAGCTGGGGCGGGCTCCATGCTCAGCGCTCACCGTGCTGCTGGGGGCCGAGGGGGGGAGTCTGCAGGGGGAGGCGCAGCGTACCTCGGGAGCCAGGCGGCTGGCCTCCGTCCTGATCCGGCACTGCCCTTGCTGTGTGACCCAGGCCACGTCGCCTAACCTCTCTGGGCCTCCGTGTCCTCCCTTCTTAACGACGGATTGTGAGCTAGTTCTCACTCCAGGGGGTCCGAGGGGGGCTCAGTGGATAAGAAGCACGTAGGGCAGTCAGTGCCCCAGGACCGGTCGCCCGCTAGCCACCTCTGAGCTCAGCCCTCTTCCACGGGGAGCCCCATTATCCCGTCTCACACATGGCGACGCCAAAACAGGTGCGTCCTGTTCTCCCCCGGGCAGCCCTTCAGGGGTGAGCCGGGCACAGGGCCTCCCCCTGAGCAGGTTCTTTCCCGTCACCGTTCCCGTTAGGAAGACACAAATACGACAAAAAGCGGTCGCCGTCTTGTTTTAGGAGATGTAGGGTGTCCTTTTCATGACGTCCCTGTGGCTGGGGAAAGCTGCGGAGAGGGGGCCGGTCCTGTGTCTTCAGCCCCTCAGGGATCCACCCCGTGATCTCTTCACCTGCCCCCCGTCCCCCGCACTTGACTTTGGGGTGGCAGTCAGAGCCCTTGGGCCTGAGGCCCCAGGGGACTGAATGAGGTCCGCAAGGTGAATCTGCCCGTCACCCCCCCCCCATAGCTGACCAGGGACCCTTTGGGGGTGCGTCTGAGGGGTAAAGCAGCCTCTCCATGCAGCCTGAGCTCCCGGCGTCGGCCCCAGGAAGCGAAGGAGCCCATGTACCCCTTAGCTGAGACCCACCCCGTCCAGCACTTGCCTGGGAAATCCCAAAATCACTCAGGCTGCAAAAGCTACAGCCTGGTCACCCTAAAGCAACGACGAATGCCAGTGGGTCCCGGACCCCCACGTGCTCTCCACCTACCCGTGTGTGCCCTTCGCCCTCATCCCAGCCCTGGAGAAAATTGCCTTTAGTTCAGAGAACGTGGCCCGTTGCTTTAAAAACAGCACAAGTAATGGAGTCTTTTTGTTTGTTTGTTTTCATTTTTATGTTTCTGGTTCCCTGAAGGAGGCCGTCAAGGTTTGGAACTTTTTGTCACTCCTCTGTCCCCCGGGGAGAGGGCCCTCCTCACGCCTCACCTGTCTCTTTCTCCCGCCAGGCCTCCCGCAGCTCCTCTACGCCGGCGGGGTCTCCGCTTCTCCCTGCCTTCGGGTCTCTCTTAACCCCGTTCTTCCGTTCCAGCGCCCCTCGCTGGCCTGCTCTGGGCTCCCCCGAGGCCTGGCGCCTCCGGACTGCCCGCGCTTGCTGACACTTACCGCGTCTCTCCTGCCCCTGGTAGACGTTCTCGGGGCCAATTCACAGCTGGATGTTCCCCAGGGGGCCCCCGGGCACAGACTCGCTGCCAGCAGCACCCAGAGCCAGGTTCCGTGGCCTTCCCCACGGGCTGGGTTCCCAACACGGCTTAGATCCCGGGGACAGACCGAATATGGCGAGTTCTGAATTGGAGAGGGTACAAAACAGCCAGCTATGAATCGGCCCCAAAGGGGGAATGGGTGGGCTGAATCTGGCATGCGTGCTCAAGGTGAGGGTGTCAAACTCACCGGTCACACGGCCAACGGGGTTTCTTCCACAGGACCATCCCAGAGCAGAGTACGAAGCTCGGGTTTTGGAGAAGTCACTCAGGAAAGAAGCCAAGAACAAAGAGGTACGGTAGCCACTGTTTGTAGCTTTCCCAGGGGAAAAAACAAAACAAAACAAAAACACGGAGTGTTCATCAACAGTGTAGACGAGGGCTCAGAACGCTCTGTATGTTCAACAGGGTCAATCACAAGCTGGCCCGCTAGACAGAAATATTTAGACTCTGCAGGCCTCCGTCACAACTACTCAGTTCTGCCACTGTGGCTTGAAAGCAGCTATAGGCAGCAGGTAAACAAATGGGCCTGGCCCATTTGTTCCAATAAAACTTTATTTCCAAAAACAAGTGGGGGGCCAGATTTGGCTATAGGCTGTAGTTTGTCAAACCTGCTGTAGCTCCATCTTCTTGATCTACCCTGAGCGTGACCTCAAACGCCAGCCAGCATTTTAACATCAAAGACCAGGTGGCTTTGCAGCTTTTTCACAGTCCACTGGACAGTCATTGTGTCCGGCTCATTGTGTTCTGTGCTGGAGGATGACCTGGAGGGGGTTGCTCAGCCAGCATCCCTGAGCCAATGGCCAGTTCCTTGTTCGACTCACAGACAATGAGGAGGAGAGAGAGGGGGGCGGCGTTTGGGGATGTCCTTGAGGCCATCATCTTCTTATAACAAATGCCTTTCTTTCTCCCCAAACCTGTCACTCGAGTTGGCAGTCTTACGTGGGCAGCCTGAGCACTCACCAGCCTCCAGAGTGTGTGGCTGTTTTGCGATGGGGTTGTTTGTCCATGGCTGGGACTACGCAGAGCCCTGGGCCCTTGTCAGCATCTGACCGCGGCTGGGGACCTTCGCATCATGCCTGTGGGATGGAGCCAGTGGATGCTCATCCCAGCTCCATTGTCTGCTGTCCCCTTTTCACGCTCAGCCTCTGGGGCTGATCAGGACAGTCCCCCAGTCTTTCCTGGCCGCTGTGTCACACACAGAGTTTTCTGGTTCCGAGGAGCTGGGGGTCGCAATCGCCGACATCCCATCTAGCCAGTAAAGTGGGTGCACCAAAGCCCCCTCTCAGGCCCGTTCCCATGACAGCAGAATCCAGCTCAGTCCTCTTGTAGTCACTCTTTGAACACACTCTTCGAGTCCGAGCGGGACCCGGGGTGCAAGACTATAACCACAAAAGCGTGAGCCATCACCCCAAATCGGGAGATTGTCTTCCGTTTACCCGATCAGAAGGTGTGACACCCCATGCACGGTGCCTTCCGAGCAGCGACCTGTGGCCCTGAGCGGCTCCTTTACCCCTCCTGGGCCTCGGTTTCCCCTCCTGAAGGGAGAGGCGTGGATGCCAGCGTGCTCAGGGCGGCATCTCGGCCACGGTGGCCCAGGACAGCCCATGCCATGGCTTCACGGCGGCACCTCTGAGCGTGAGCAGGAATGGCTGTCGCATCCCCTTCTGAGGGGGAAAGGGCTCTGTGGCACGTGTCATGGCCACGTAAATCGAGGGACTTCACCAACCCCAACAGTGGGTCTGGATGGGCATCAGGAGTGCCCCTCAGACCCCTCCCCCCAGCCACTCCCCCTCTGGGTTTTGACCAGAGATCTCAGGTCACAATGAGAAAAAGGGATGGGGTGATTTCTGCAGGCCTTTGGGGGACCCCAAGCCCTGTGTGCTTCTGATGGGCCACACTCTTTATTTCCTCCTCCGTTTCATTGGCTCCCAGCAGCTCCTTTATGGTTTTTAGTTCCCTCCAGCTGAGGCACCAGACCCACTTGGGAAAACACAATCCACCCCTTAATTGGTGTATTAACTTACAGCTCCAGGCGTGGCCTCCTTTATGTTGGCAGCGGCCGGTGCTCAGCACGTTGGGCGTCTTTGCATAAGCGAAGCCTGTAAATCGCAGCAGCCGGTCTGTGAGCCGGGCATTGCCGAGCCCCGCGGGCCTCTGAGGCCTGGTCTGCCGCTCCCCTCCCCCCCGGGCCTCAGCCTTGCTGTGAGGTCGGGGTCCTGCCAGCTCCCGCTGGTGTGCAACCCCCAGAACCTGGACCAGCCCGGACGGCAAGCACACCATGGGGGCGACGGGGGCCTGGACCACGGTCACACCTCACCCCGTGGTGCTCTCTTGTTCCCTCCCTCCCCCTCCCCGTAGAGGCGCCGGGATAATCCAGAAGAGTCAACAAACAAATGGAAGCGGAGGGTTAAGACAGCCATGGCGGGGGTGAAATTGGTACTTGTCTGTGTCGGGGCGATGCGAGTCGTGACTGTTTGCGACCATCTAAGTCCGTTGCGTCCTCCTCGGCCAACTCTGACTTCTGTGTTGGTTCTTGTCCTTTTTTTTTTAACACTCACCTTCGTGCTTCTTCGCCCTCCCGCCGCACCCTGTGGTGAGCTGCGATGTGTGTGGAAGTGTCACTGCATGGCTGTGGCTGTGGGGGGTCGGGGGTGCGGGGGGCCTTGTGCACTGTGCTTGTCACCACTGCCCGCCACCGGCCTCGCCTGCTCCTTAACACGCATGTCGCCCGCCCTGGGGCATGTCCTCGGCAGCATTCCTTGTCCGAACACTCGCATTTCCCAAGGAACGGCTCGCCCAAAGTCTTGACACATCCCAGGTGGGTGACGGGCTTCTGCGCAGGGCTCCTCCCGACCCTGTCGCCGCGTGTCGCCGCGGTCCGCTGCTGCTCCGTAGCCAATATCGGGGTGTGCCGTGCGGGCTGCTTGTTTGGATTTGCTCTGCAAAGGAAAATAACTATTATAGTCTGGTCTGGGCGGCGGAGGGCAACGCACCTTAGACCGTCACGCCTTAGACGGGAGACCTTCAGCCAAAGAAACGGGGTCCGATACGCGTCTCCCCGGCGAGGGTCTGACGGGCTGGCTTAGACAAGCGTTGGACACGCTTGTTATTACCGTTACTGCCTCGCACAGAGGAAGCCCACGTCCATCGTTCCACGGCATTGTTTCCTAGGTTGTGAGACCCCAGCTGTTTCTTTGAACGCTAGACGTTTGCATCCACTCGAACCGTAAATGAGTGGGGGTGTGTTTTTTTTTCTAAGGTGTTTCTCAGTATTTCTGTTGTCCAAGTTCACGGGTGCACACGCACGCACGCACACGCACATATGTGCACACACGCACTCACACACATGCGTGCGCGTGCGTGCCTCCCCACCCGGGTGGTTCCCACAGTGACCCGCATCGTTCCGTGTTGCAGACTGACAAGGTGAAGCTGACCTGGAGAGACCGGTTCCCTGCCTACTTCACCAACCTGATGTCCATCGTCTTCATGGTAAGTTCCGGAAGGCCGAGGCGGGAGGACGCGGGGAAGCCCACCCCCAGCCTGGGGTCGGCCGTCACTATGACGGCTGAATGCTCCTGGGATGGTGCCCCTGGAATGGGAAGGAGCGAGGTTCCCCAGCGGTCCCCTGGGGTCCGTGAGATAATTAACCAGGTTCCCCCTCATCGGGATACCAGATTTCAAAGGTACTATTTAAGGCAAAACTGAGGTTTTTATTTTTTTATTTTTAAATATATTTTATTGATTTTCTACAGAGAGGAAGGGAGAGAGATAGAGAGTGAGAAACATCGATGAGATAGAAACATCAATCAGCTGCCTCCTGCACACCCACTACTGGGGATGTGCCCGCAACCAAGGTTCATGCCCTTGACCGGAATCGAACCTAGGACCCTTCAGTCTGCAGGCTGATGCTCTATCCACTGAGCCAAACCGATTTCGGCAGTTTTTATTTTTTTTTTTTAATTTATCTTTGTTGTTGAAAGTATTACCGATGTCCCCTTCCCACCTCCCACCCCACTGACTCCCTCCACCCTGCTCCCACCCCTCCCCAGGCCTTCACCCCACTATTGTCTGTGTCTGTGTTCTGCATATATGCATAGAAGTTCTTTGGTTAATCTTTTCTCACCGACTCCCCTTTCCTCTGAGATTCATCAGCCTGTCCCAAGCTTCTGTGTCTCTGGGTCTATTTTGATCGTCTGTTTATTGGTTCATTAGATTCCACATACGACTGAGGTCATGTGATGCTTGTCTTTCTCTGACTGGCTTATTTCACTTAGCACAGTGCTCTCCAGGTCCCTCCGTGCTGTCTCAAAGGCAAGAGGTCCTTCTTTTTCACTGCTGCACCGTATTCCATGGTGTAAACGTACCACAGCTTTTTTATCCACTGATGGGCACTCGGGCTGTGTCCAGATCTCAGCTGTTGTAAATGGTGCTGCTGTGAACATAAGGGTGCATACCTTCTTTCTGATTGGTGTTTCTGGTTTCTTAGGACATAGTGTTAGAAGCGGGGTTGCTGGGTCAAAAGGCAGTTCCGTGTTTAATTTTTGGAGGAAACTCCGCACGGTTCCCCACCGTGGCTGCGCCAGTCTGCATCCCCACCCACAGCGCCCTGGGGTTCCCTTTGTCCACATCCTCGCCAGCACTGGCTGCTTGTTGATCTAATGGTGGTAGCCATTCCAGCAGGTGGGAGGTGGTACCTCCTTGTCCTTTTAATTGGAAGGTTTTTAAAGGAAAGAATTAAATAAGCTCAGATGGGACAGAAGTGACTGGGGGGCTGTGACGGGCCGGTGGGCCTGGCTGACTCCAATGCCTCGGCCACACCTGAGCTCTCCGAGGGATCCCCCTCCCCCCTCCTGCTCCCGGGGCTCCCCCGGCTGGCCGTGCTTTCATTCTTCCCCAAGAGGTCAGGGCCACCTGTGGTCACTGAAGGAAAGGCTGTCCGTTTGTCCAGTCCCCCACCCTGGACCTGGCTCCCAGGGGCCCTGGGTTCGACGGCTGCCGAACAGGGAGCATCTCCTTCAGGCCTCACCACCTGCCTGTCCTGAGACCTCCCCTGCAGCTGGTGGGGAAACTGAGGCCTGGCGGTCCGGCCCCTCTCCCCAGGCCGCCCGCCAGCAGGGGACAGGGCCACCGGCCACGAGGGCCGTCTGCCCCAGGAGCCCGCTGATCCACATGGACTTGGGGCCAGAGGCTTATCTTGGTTTTCCAGGCTGGGATAAGGGCAGGGCCGAGGGAGGACTCAGTTTCCCCTCGTGCTCTTACACACGCTAAAGGGGGATTTCGACAAAATGGAAAGAAATCCCCGGAGCCAACTCGATGGGGCTGGGGCTGTTGTGCCATCCAGATGACCCTGAGCGGGTTGGTCTGGTCTTGAGGGCCCTGGGGCACACGCCCCAATGGCATGTGAGTGTCCCCTCTGGGCAAACATGGGGCTTAGTGCTGGGGGGAAGGGAGGCACCTCAGGATGACGTGGTCCCTACCCAGAGCCTCCCTGGGGCTCACGTCCCAGGGGGCGGGATGCGGAAGCAGGAGACAGAGGCACCTGGCGGAGAAGCGGCAGTGTCCTTGCAGAAGGACCAGCGGGGGGTGACGGGAAGTGGGGGGAGGTGCAGCGAGGAGCCCCTGGCTGCATGTCGCTTCCTGGGTGGCCTTGCAGGGCGTTGAAGCTCCTCGTAAGCAACCACGAGGAGGCAAGCCGTGCAGGGCAAGTCTGGCCGCGCCACGATGCCGCCAGACACTGACCTCCCTGACCTTCCTCGCACCCATCCTGGGCGTCCTCTTAGTCACCACAGGGCTGCTCCCGCTCCGGCATCCCCTCCGCTCTCCCGGCGGGAGGAAGGGTCAGGGCCAAGGGGAAGGGGACCGTGCCAGTGGAGGCAGCCCCTCCCTGAAGGTGCTTCCCAGACACCTGCCGCCTGGGTCTCCCGGACCCCCCCACCCCAGCCCCCTCCTGCATCTCACCAGCCAGACCCTTTCCTGTGGGCCCCCCTGTCTGCAGGGACACGGGAGCATGGGCACACTGTCACTCCCAGCAGAGGCAGGCTAGTGGGCAGGGGAGGAGCTGGCCCTTGATGTGCTGCCCCCCCACCCCCACCCCATCCAGTAACTCAGTAAGCTTTGTCCCGCCCACAGAAGCTCCATTCGCAGGAGCTTTTGGTGGAGCACCTACAACATGCCCAGTGTTCCTCCTGGTTAGAGACCCCGAGTGGCCTTGCCAGCCGGCCCCAGGCCCGGGCGGCCCTTTCCTTCCCAGGAAGGAGGCTGCACGGGGCTTGCCTGTCATGGGGACGTGCCTCCCCCCAACCCCCGCTCTGGCTGGGAAAGGAGGGGCCGTGCTGAGTCACCCTGCAGGCCCGGCCGCCTGCCTGCCCCTCCGCACGCTGGCACGAGGGCCTTCTCGGGGCCAGGGCGGTGCCTCCCCCTGGGAGGGGCCCCTTGGCAGGAGCCAGGGATTTCCGAGGAAAGCCCTTGTTCCCAGAGCCGGCAGAGAGCGGTGCCCACACCTCAGAGTGGGGCCGCCCTCGGCCCGGGTGTGGTGTGGCCGCGGCCGTCTCTCGGGCAGGGTGTGGTCCCCCTTTAGTCACCAGCAGAAGCGCTGTCGCTGGCCCAGAGCTTTGCTGGGAGACTCCCGGTGGCTGCGGGGTCCCCAGGGGTGAGCCAGGCTGCGGGCGCAGAGCACACCCCCGGACCCTCGGGACTGTCCCAGGAGCCTCCCGGCACCCTCCTACAGAGCCGGGCCCACCCCCCACACCCTAACGGGAGTAAATGTGTGAGGATGCGGACACCCAGGGGGGAGCGGGCAGAGCATGGAGCCTGCGCCCGTGGTGTGTCCTGGGGGCTAGGATTCTCAGGTGGCCTCCCCCTGGGGCAGGACAGGGTCTCCCCGGCTGAGTTAGGGTCTTTGAGGAAAAGGAAACGGGACCAAGGCAGACAGACAGACAGACAGACAGTGCCACACGGAACAGCCTTGTCCTCCTAGCCAGCTGCCCGCCCCCCATCGCCCAGGCCACCTCCAGCCCGCGTTGTGTGGGACATTTCAGTCCAACAGGGAGGTGTGGCAAGGAGAGGGGCTCGCTCTTGGGGACAAGCCAGAGGGTGTTGGTGACCCCAGGGAGGTTGAGAGAAGGGACCCCATCGGACGGTCCAGCCAGGCCTGCAGCAGCGTCACCCCACAGGCCACCCGCCTCCACCCGAGAGTGTGTCCCTGCTTCTGCTCGTCATCAGGTTGCGGGGGGGGGGGGGGTCCACCAGGTGGTCAGCCTGGTGAACCCCACTTGTGTGTGGGGTGACCTGGCCTGGTGGCAGACCACTCTGATCTGATCCTCAGTCTCTCCTGGAAAAGACACCAGTCCCTTGTTGGTGCGGAGTTAATGGCGAGGCCCTGGTGTGTGGGTGACAGGAAGCTGAGGGTTGAGGGGGTGCTGGCTGGGGAGCACGGGGGCGGGGGGGGGTCCGGGAGACCCAGGTGGCCCAGCCGAGGCGTCCCTCCTCCTCTGCAGATCGCGGTGACCTTCGCCATCGTCCTCGGCGTCATCATCTACAGAATCTCCACCGCCGCCGCCTTAGCCATGAACTCCTCCCCCGCCGTGCGCTCCAACATCCGGGTCACGGTCACGGCCACCGCGGTCATCATCAACCTGGTGGTCATCATCCTGCTGGACGAGGTCTACGGCTGCGTGGCCCGGTGGCTCACCAAGATCGGTGAGCACCCGTGTCCGGGACGCGGCCCGGCCGGCCCTGGAGCCGGCGGCCCCTCCTGTCCTGGGGCCTCGGGCGGGTCCCTCCCCTCCTCTGGTTCCGTCCCCTGAGAGCGGCGTGGGGCGGTCAGCCGGCCACTCAGCGGCCTGCGTCTCCTCCCCTCAGAGGTGCCCAAGACGGAGAAGAGCTTCGAGGAGAGGCTGATCTTCAAGGCGTTCCTGCTGAAGTTCGTCAACTCCTACACCCCCATCTTTTACGTGGCTTTCTTCAAGGGCCGGTAGGGACCCCCTCAGCCACTGAACTTGCTGCCTCCCCGCCACTCGCTGCTGCCAGGCCCGTGGGAGGGTCCTCTCCTTATGTTCATAGGCGGGGGGCACCGTGGCCCAGGACAGAGCAGTCAGAATGGTTCTCTGAGTTCTAGTGACTATGGGGGTCCCAGAACATTAGGGACCCCAGATACCAGGAACCCTAGGCAGTGGGGACCCCAAATAATAAGGACCCCAGGCAGCGAGTGCCAGGTGCCTCCGCAGTTGGTCAAGGTGCCTCGGGGCGAGGGCCCTGGGAGGAGATATGAGAAATGTCGCTGCTGACCAGCTCCACATGCCAGCCTGGTGACGGGGTGAGCCCGTGTCTGGACCTCTGGAGCCATCTTTTCTAGACCCCCTATCGCTCCTCCTGCTGGGGCTGGCAGATCTGATCCCAGAACCCTCCCTCCCCAAAGGCTCCTCAGCATCCTGTAACTTCCAGACTCATAGGGTCCTCCACCCTGGGGTCCCAGAGCCAGGCCAAAGGGTCCAGGCCCCCTGAGAGCATCCGTGACGACGGAGCAGGCCCCAGAGGCCTCCAGCCCTCACCTCCCACAGGAAGCTGAGAGGCAGCCTCAGGGACCACCACACCCCAGCCTCCAAGGTCCTTGGGGTTCTGTGGCCCCGCCATAGTGACAGCTTGGCTTAGTGCCCCCCTGGGCTCCCCGCTTCCGTCCCCCCTCAGCCACTAGGTTTCCTGTTTTGTTTCTTACCCCGTGTGGGTTTGGGAATCACAGGACACTGGGCCAACAGAACATCCTCGGTCATTTTTTAGCCATTGGATCAGACATATAATACACTCCAGGCTGTGCCTTCGGGACTCTCAGCTCGCCCCTCCCCTAGGGGATCCCCCAGGCTGGGTCTCTGCTGTCTAACTGCCCCCCCAACCGTTACAGGTTTGTGGGGCGCCCCGGCGACTACGTGTACATCTTCCAGTCCTTCCGCATGGAAGAGGTAATGAGCTCGCAAGCCTCCGTGCCCCCGATCCATCTCCCTTCTGTCCGCTCAGCACCCGGCCGATTCCTCATCGGGGGCAGTCTCCTTCCTTCTCGTGGGAGCCCCTCTCCCAGAGGGTGGCCGGGCTCTGACTGTCTTAGGCGTGTCCATACAGGATTACTCTAAAAGGGGCATCTCTTCAGAGCCAGGGAAACCCAGCAAGGACGCCAATTTCTTCCCTTTTCCTATTAGACCGAGAATCTGTTCTTCTTTGGTTCAGATGAGGGGAAAGCTAAACTCGGCTACCTTTAACATTGAAATGTGCCCACTTCTCTTCCCCCAAAAAACAATGCTGGGGACCTGGGGCCACCGCGGGTCTGGTCAGGGCGCCCGCCGTCCTCTGCCACTGGGTCCCAGCCCCAAACCAAGCTGGGGCTTCTGAGCCTGTCTCCGGGGACCAGGTCAGCATTTCCAACCCCCAGAATAATTCCACATATCGGAAAACAAAGGGGAGTGTCCTCCTGGTGAAGACCCAGTGGGAGGGACGATGGGGGTGGACATCAGGTACAGGGCGATCTGGCTGCCCAAGGCACAGCCTAGAGGCTCCACCCCCTGGAGTGCCAGCCTCCGAACATCCTGACACAGGCCTCACCCTCGGGAACAGATGTTCGCAAACGGCCCAGCCAGGGCTTTCCTCTGACGTGCCCTCCACATAGACAGTGCCCTGTCCGCCTCCTCAGTGTTGGGAGAAGTCGGTGACAGGCCTTCGTAGAATAGAATAAAGCAAAGGCCGTCATCTTTTTTTTTATTTTTATGAAATGATGGCTCTGCAAGATAAACTTTTGGGTAAGAACATAAAAAGGTGTGGTAGGGACTCAAAGGGGAGTCCTCTGTCCTCAGGGGGTCTCCCAGGGTGTCCTGAGTTCTCATCACACTGGCCCGAGCCGAAGGCCCCACAAGCCCCTAAGGGCAGGGGCATTAGGTGGCTGGCTGGCTCACCGTGTGGCTTCCCAACTGCGGGGACCTCAGCCTGCCATGGCCGTGGCCGTGGCCGTGCAGGGTCTGTGGACAGGCAGCCGGTGTGAGGGACGAGGCGCTGGCCTTGGGGGGGAAGGGGAAGCCCAAGAGCAGCCCTGGCGCTGCCCATCCTGGCCGTGCACTCCCTCCCTGAGCCTGGGCGCAGCCCGACGGCCTGCAGGCCAGGCGCGCTAGCTTCCTGGGGGCCGAACGAAACACCGCAGATGGGAGGCTCAAAACAACAGAAATCGCCCGGCCGGTGTGGCTCAATGGTTGAACATCGAGCTATGGACCAGGAAGTCACAGTTTGATTCCCAGTCAGGGCATAGTGGGCTCGATCCCCAGTAGGGGCTGTGCAGGAGGCAGGCAATCGATGATTCTCTCTCGTCATTGATGTTTATCTCCCTCTCCCTTCCTCTCTGAAATCATTCAAAATATTAAAAAAAAAAAAAAAAAATTGATTCCCTCATAGTTCTGGGGCCAGCCGTCCAAACCCCCGGTGTCAGCCGGGCTGCCCTCCTTCCAGAGGAGAGGGGCCTCTCCCGGCCTCGCCCGGCGTCCGTGGCCATGGGCAGTCCCTGGCGCTCCCTGGCAGACAGCCACGGCACTGCGACCTCTGCCTCCCTCCGGCTTCCCTCGCCTTCTCTGCGGCTCCCTGTCCTCTTCCTGTAAGGACGTCAGCCATTGGACGGGAGCCCACGGTGCACCGTGTGACCTCATTCTAACATGGTCGCGTCAGCAAAGACCCTGTTCCTAAATAAGGCCCCCTCCTGGGGTTCTGGGATTAGGACGCGGACCTCACTTTGTGGAGGACACCCTTGAGCCTACCCCCTATCCCCTCCCCCGAGGGCCGAACTCCCCTCCCCGGGGGCTGGTCCTCTCCCTAGTGCCCTCGGGGTAGGTGGGGTCTCACGCGCCCTCCCTCTGCCCGCAGTGCGCCCCGGGCGGCTGCCTGATGGAGCTGTGCATCCAGCTCAGCATCATCATGCTGGGCAAGCAGCTCATCCAGAACAACCTGTTCGAGATCGGCATCCCGTGAGTACCCCCGGGCCGGCGGCAGGGAGATCCGGGGCCTGGGCCTGGACCAGGACGGGGTGGGGACGTGGGGATGCCAGACAGGGAGGTGGTGAGGACCGAGCGGGAGGACCCGGCGGCAGCCGCTCCACCGGGAACGGGGAAGGGAGGCCGAGGACGCTGCTCCCCGACTGGCTGCTGAGGGTGCAGAGTGCCCACAGGTCCTGCGGCTGGCAGGCGGAGGCCGTGCCTGCTTACCCAGCATCCTTCAGGAACCGTGGCCCGGTCCCTCTTCAGGGCGCCATGATCTGCCTTCTCTCTCCGCCCTCCCCGGGTCCGCGTGGGCCCGGCCAGGCCCTGGGCACCTTCAGAGCCTTCCTGCCATTTTAGGTGGCCATGGCCCTCCCCGCGCCTCTGCTTCCTGGGACCCCTGCCGCCGGGGGCCAGGGCAAAGGGGGCCGTGGACAGTTAGGGAGCTCAGGGTGGGAAATGACGGCTCAGGGACCTGGGAGCTCGGCTTGCGGTGCAGACGCACGGCCCCCGGAGCCCGCCCTCCCGCGGCCTGACCGCGGCCCGGCCTTGCTTCCAGGAAGATGAAGAAGTTTATCCGTTACCTGCGGCTGAAGCGCCAGAGCCCCGCCGACCACGACGAGCACATGAAGAGGAAGCAGCGCTACGAGGCGGACTTCACGCTGGAGCCGTTCGGGGGCCTCACCCCCGAGTACATGGAGATGAGTGAGCACGGCGGGCGTGGAGGGGGCGGGCGCCTCCTCACCAGGGATGGCCGCGCTTCCTGCGCTCGGGAGGGAGCCCAGGGGTGGCACGGAACTCTCAGAGGCGGAGCAAGGGACAGACGGAGAGGTCAGGCCACCACCCGGAGCCTCCCTGACCCCACCCCACCCTCCTCCCTCAGCTCTGGCCACACGGGCCTCCCGCTGTCACCCAGACACAAGGCTGCCTCCCCTGCACGAGCAAGGAGTGCTCTCCCCCAATCCTGGCACGACTCCCCTTCTTCCTTCCCGTGGACTCAGCATCCAGTGTCCACCCCAGAGGGTCTCCCTGGCCCATCCCGGGTCTGTGCGGGCTGAGACCCGGAGCTGTGGGTTTTCAAAAAAAAAAAACCCTGGGCAAAGGTCCCCAGGCGCCATTCTTCCATGGTGAGGTGGTGCGGGGCAGGGCGACCTGGGGCAGAGCTCCCTGCTTCATGGCCAGCCTGCCCTGCGCGCCTGTTGGCCCTGCTCGTCCGTGTAAGCCCTGCCCGGCCTCCCAGGGGTGCAAGGAGCTCCGTGCCGCCGTTGACTCAGAAGGAAAAGAATCTGGAGGCTTGGGATGAGAGGAAATCGTGGTGTGTTTAGAGGACATTCTCTGTTTCCTCCTGGAATAAAATCCAAGCTGAACCAGAGGCAGGTGGGCTGATCCACCCAGCACGGGGTGTGGGAGGGGCAGCCTATGATGGGCTCAGATATGAAATCATTTCTCAGATGTTCATTGCTATGGTGGCTGGAGGTTGAGCTCCCTTTTCCCCTGGATGTGATGAAATTAGATCCTGGGACAGGCTCCTCCCGCCCACCCAGGGAGCTCCCCGCTGCTCCCCAGTGCCCCACGTCGCTCTGGGAGGCTGGGATTGACTTATGGTCAGCGGGGCCAACAGGCGCGCAGGGCAAGCTGGCCGTAAAGCAGGAAGCTCCGCCCCAGGTCGCCCTGCCCCGCGCCGCCGCGGCCCAGCAGGGCCCAGCCGCGCTTGCCCAGGGCTTTGTTTGAAAACCCACAGCCCCAGTTCTTGCCCGGCTCAGACCAGGGATGGCCCAGGGAACCCGCATTTTAAATAACTGTGGTGGTGGCCACGAGGCGCTGCCCTCTGGAGCTCTCTGCAGGAGTCTTCAGACCTTTCCCTCATCCTTCATCCAGGGGGCACCCCACCACACCCCCCGCCTGCCTCCCCCTCGAGGCCAACTCTCTGGGAACCCAGAGCACATGGGATCCCGAACACAGCAAGGAAAGGCCCAACCTAGAATGTCCTGCCTCCACTCCAACCCCGCCCCCATTCCTGGCCCAAGGGAACCCACAGCCTCAGCCTCAGCAGCCCCTGGCCCACACGCTGAGCTTATCCTGGTCCCCATCACCCCCAGCGTACGGCCCAGGGGCCACATGGAGCCCCCTGTGCTCGGGACAGTGGCCACACTCAGCTGCCCAGGCACACCGTGACGTCCTGTCACCTCCTGTGTGCCACCTGCACCGAGTGCCAGGGCCGGGTCCTGTGGTGCATGCAGTTCTGAACCTTTTCCTGTCCCGTCCGGGAAGCCTCAAAGGGGGCCTGTCCGTGATGAGGATGAGGAGGAAGAGGGAGGGGTCTGAGGCAGGGCGACATCACCCTGCACACTGGTCCCTGCCCGGCTCCCCGAGGCCTGATGGGAGGGGGTGACGAGGGCTTTTGGAGACACTGGCAGGCCCCCCACGTACAGGAACATCTGGCTGATGGGAGCTTAGGGGCCCACAAAGGTCCTTCTAGCCCAGGCACAGTGGCCAAACCTGGGCCCTGGTACTCATGGGGCATTTTTCCCCATTATTGGTTATTGATTTCTCTTTTTTACTTTTCAATTACACTTTACATTCAATATAATATTGTATTATTTTTGAAGATTAAACTTGTGATAGATGAGGACTTATGGACCAGCTGGGCCCATGGTTTAAGGGTCACACTCCCTGGTCACCTTCTTCCTCGGGAGGCAGAACCCCAGTGGTCAGCTCCCGGGGCTCCTGGGGCGGGGGCACCCCCTCCCGTGCAGGAGGCTGATGGCTCCCTGTCTCTGAAGTCATCCAGTTTGGCTTCGTCACCTTGTTCGTGGCCTCCTTCCCCCTCGCCCCGCTGTTCGCGCTGCTGAACAACATCATCGAGATCCGCCTGGATGCCAAGAAGTTCGTCACCGAGCTGCGCCGGCCGGTGGCCGTCCGGGCCAAAGACATCGGTGAGCGGCCGCGGGCGGGTGTGAGCGAGCACCTGCTGGGTTTGGGGAAGGGAGCCCGCTCTGCTCAAGCGAGAGCCAGGGCCGGCAAAGGGGGACCAGGCGCGGGGTCCCCGGGGGCTGCTCACTGCACCTTGCCTGGATGGAGACTCAGAGTCTCGGGGTGGGGGTGATGCACACCCCCAAGGCTCCTCACTCTCCCACCCCCGAGGTTAGGGGGCTGACAGAGCCGAGCGGGGGCCTCCAGGGCCGCACCCCTGTGTGAGGAGCGTGGCCTCCAGAAGCTTATGCTGCACCAGGTGGCAGGTGGCCTGCGCGGCGCACCCCGGACGGGCCCTGGGAAACCTGGACCCCGGGCGCAGCGGCAGGAGAGGGAAGAGCGTGGCCTCCTGTCTCTCTTCCTTATGATTCTCGGGTGCCCGCGGGCCCCGGGCCGGTGTTTGCTTTGGCGCCCTTTGCTTGGCAAAGCCCTGGCTGCCCCCTGCAGCCACATCCTAAAAGCTGCCAGCGCACCAGGGGGAGAGGAGCCTGGGCAGCCTCTGGCCGCCGCGCTCCACGGGGGGGGTGGGGGGGGGGCGCGCGAAGGGGGGCGCGGCGGCCAAAGCCCCACCGTGAGCGAGGCGTGGAGCGGGGCTCCGGGCTCGGGGGAGGTTGGCTCTGTTTTCCTCTGGTTCTCGCGGATCACCGCGCACTTCCTGGTTCCTGTATGGTTGGGTGAAGGCATAATCTGCCTCCTTTCACGGGTTTGTTTATGGGCTTCTTCGCCGTAACCTTTTCCTGAAGAGGCTTTTGTGTTCCTCCTGTGATCCGTGCAGGGCCCCGGGGGGACAGAGGGCCCCGTGGCCCCTGTGACATGCACCCACGGGTGGGGGGAGAGAATGGGGGTGGCTGGGGAAGCTCTGCCACCAAGGCACAGCGCCTCCAACGCCCTGCCTGGGCACGGAGCGGGGGCGTGGCCCGTGGCTGCAGGGGACCCAGCCCTGCGCGTGGGAACAGGCTCCCGCTTCCCAGCCCTGACCTCTGACACCAGATTAACCTGCTTCCGGCTCTCGGCCTCCTTCGGCGGAGCCTCCGGGAACAAACTCCTGCCGGCGTTCAGCTCCGGGCGCTGCGTGTGGTCACGGGTGACTGAGCAGCCCTGGCCTGTTCCTGGAAATGGGGCTTAGCACCTGGGGTGGCAGAGGCACCTCGGAGAAGGCAGCTCCCCCCACAAAGGAAGCCCAGAGCATTTGCCCAAGAGCCTGGTCCCTGGCTCCTGGGGATACGCAGAGCCGCGGTTCTCACCACGGAGCTCGGCCACGCACCCGGGGAGAGGCAGGACGCCGAGACAGGCTGCTCAGGCCCTGGTTTTGCACTTTTTAAGCAGGGCCCCACGATTCCGGTGTGGGGGTCACTCAGAGGCCCACTGGCCCCACGTGATTTCGCTGTGGCACCTGTAAGACAGGCTTGGCTCCCAGCTTTGGGGATCGCTCTGCTGGCCCACCCGTTCCCCACTGTCCCCAACCCGCCATGGGCCCGTTTCCTGGTGCTGAGCTCAGCTGCCTCCCAAGGGAGCCCCCTACCCAGCAGCAGCACCCTTCCCCCGGCTACCTGTGCCCAGCACCCCAGCACCCCAGCACCCCAGCACCCCAGCTCAGAGGTCACAAACTCAGGCCCCACCACGGGGGGGGGGGGGGGGGTGCGCATGAATGGGTGACAGCACCCTCAGGGTGCTGACACGGCCGAGGAGCAATGCAAAGGGCCGTGTTCACAAAGGGAACCACCCCAGCTTGTGTCTGGATTCGGTCAGCCCTCCCAAGGCGCAGCTCAGGGACCACTGACCGGAGGAGGGCCAGCAGCAGGGGGCGCTGTCACGGGATGCTCGCACACCGGCCTCGGGCGCCGCCTCCAAGCCCGTGGTTTCTAGCTTCTGGGCCACACAGACCTGGAATCACGTCTCTGCAGACCACCCACATGTACCCCCAAAAATCGGAACCCAGGGGGCACCCGGGTGCTCACTGCTCTCCTGCCCCAAAGCAGCCTCTGCCCTGCACAGAGAAACCCCACCCACCACATTCCTCCCTGATGACTGTCACACTCACAGGCCCCTCCCGCCCTTTCTGAGAAGTGCTGGTGGTTGCTGGAATCAGATCTGGTTCAGCGACAGAGCTCCTGGCCCAAGGGGACTGGGTTAGGGTCAGGCAGGAGGCACGGGGCCCCTTCCCGGGAGTCGCAGCATCAAGGCCCTAACAGGCAGGGCCGGCTGTGGGCCCCCAGACAAGGCCCTTTCTTCCTTCCTGGGCCCGGCTGCCAGGGAGGCCCGTGGCAGAACCCCTGCTTCTCAGGGTCCTTCTCCCCTGCGTTCCGGTGCCACCAGAAATGGTCATGACACCCAGACGTGAATAAGGGCCGCTGGTTTGCTCTCTGACCCCTGCACTACCTCTGGCTTGTCCCTACATATAGGGACAGAGGAAAGAGCTGCATAACAGTTCTTGTCACCAAACCTCTGGGCTTGGCCTCCCGTTACCGTGCCGTGGGCTCTTATGGGCAAGAGCTACACCCGACTTGAATGTTGGTGGTTCTAGGGAAAAAAAAAAAAAAAAAAGGTGTCGTCCAGCCAGCCAGTGGGTGAACAGGCTCCCGGGAGCTTGCTCAGGATGCCTGAGGGACCGGCTGGTTTGAAGCACTCGGGTAGGAGTTAAGATTTGCTCAGAAGCAGCGGGTGAGCCTGCAGGGGCCCAGGCTCTGGGGTCAGCGGGTGCCTCTCTGGGCCCGACAGCAGGGTCCCTGAGGCCAGCCGCGGGGACTCCCTAACGCTGTGCTTCTGCCTCCCCAGGAATCTGGTACAACATCCTCCGAGGCATCGGGAAGCTTGCCGTCATCATCAACGTAAGTGACAGCGGGCGGGCCAAGGGAGGCCCTGGCTGAGCTGTCTGGCCGCCCATCGCACCCCTCTCTTACCCCTCCCTGGGAGCTGGGCATCCTCTGCTTTCAGCCTGGGCGGGGCTGCGGCTGCAGCAGCGTCTTCTCTTTAGAAGTGGCCCTTGGTCGTGCTGAGACGTTGTAGTGAGAATCACCAATTCTCCTCAGCCTTTTCCTGCAGCCCTTGAGCAAAATGCTCTACCATGCACACCTTGACCCCTAAGTCCACTCTCCCTAGAGTCCTGAGGATAAACAAGAGGGAGACAGAGACAGAGAGACATTGAAAGAGAGAGATTCCCCTTAGGCAATTTTTTTTTGCTCTCTTTTTTTTTTAAATATATTCTATTGATTTTCTACAAAGAGGAAGAGAGAGGGATAGAGAGTTAGAAACATTGATGAGAGAGATTCATCGACCAGCTGCCTCTTGCACACCCCCTACTGGGGATGTGCCCGCAGTCAAGGTACGTACATGCCCTTGACCGGAATCGAACCTGGGACTTTTCAGTCCGCAGGCCAAATTGAGCCAAACCAGTTTTGGCTCTTTTTTTTTTTTTTTTTTTTTTTTTTTTTTTAAGTGCCTGGCCAGTGTGGCTCAGTTGCTTGAGCATCATCCTGAGCACTGACAAGTTGCTGGTTCAATTCCCAAGCAGAGCACATGCCTGGGTTGCAGGCTCCATCTCTGGTAGGGCGTGTGCAGAAGGTGGCCAATAGATGTTTCTCTAAACCTCTCCCTCTCCTTCTCTCTCTCAAAATCAATTTTTAAATCTAAAAAAAAATAAATTTAAAAAAAACCACGAGGCACAAGGATTGTACAGTGGGTGTTGTTAGTCTTGTGTAACCAGAAGAAAAATGGGGGCACAGAGAGGCAAGGTGACTTGCCTAAGGCCGCACAGCGAGTAAGAGGCTGCCAGTATTCATCTCATGCCCAGGGGTGTTGTGTCCCCAGCTCCTTGGGCTGCCGGAGGGACTGACAGGAATGCCCCCCAACCCTTCATTTGTTCGCTCGGCATTTGGTCACGTTACTAACTCGTGGGCAGGGCGCCCCACGATCAGGCCCAGCGCCGTGGGTCCCATGCTCACCCTGCTGTTCCCCCCAGGCCTTCGTCATCTCCTTCACGTCTGACTTCATCCCCCGCCTGGTGTACCTGTACATGTACAGCCCGAACGGGACCATGCACGGCTTCGTCAACCACACGCTCTCCTCCTTCAACGTCAGCGACTTCCAGGAGGGCACGGCCCCCAACGACCCCCTGGACCTGGGCTACGAGGTGCAGATCTGCAGGTACTGCCACCCGTCCCGTCCCCCACCCCCGTGAAGAGCCCGGTCTCTGGGAAAACCCGGTTCAAGCCAGGATTCTTCCAGGAGCAAATTACAGGACAGCTCCGTGGTACTCTGAGAAATATCAGATCCCTTTGCCCTTTTGACTAAGAAGTCCAGAACAGCTTCAGGCATGGCTGGATCCAGGTGCTGCCGTGTGCCATCAGGGCCACTCAGGTGCTGCCTCCCAGCTCTGTTTCTTCCACGCTGGCATGGTTTTCCTGGCAGGCAGGGAGGTCCCCCAGCGGCTCCTGCCTTGTACCCTTCGGCCCAGCAGTCCCAGGGGCAAGAATGTTTCCTACCCAGGAGTCAGCAGTCCCGGGCCCGAGTCTCTTGGACAATGCAGGTGCCGCCGATGGCGCGGCAGCAGCAGACACGCCCAGCTGGCGAGTGATCAGTGAGCAGCGGCACGGTGCCCTGCGGGCTCTGTGGCAGGGAGGGGCCCGTATTTCACCATACACACACAGGTGGGCACATCTACCCGGGAAAGGCAGAGGATGACCCGTTCCGACCCTCTGCCCGTCCTACCGCAGGCAGGTGCCCCAGGTGCCAGGCAGGCAGAGCCCGAGCCCCAGCCTCCGGCTCGTCAGGAGCACCAGTACCTTTGTGTCGTTTGAACGTTCATGCCAAGAACACGCTCAGGCTTGACCTGTCTGTCTAAACTGACGTTCAGAGGAAAGACAGTTCTGAAGAGGGCAGGGAGGCGTGTGGCCATTTCATTAGGAATCCCTCAGGGGGTGTCCGGGCTGATGTCTGTAGGGTCCGCCTCGGGTTTTAGGACCAGGAAGCAGGTCACGGGCATTGGTTAAGGACGCAGCTCCCCACCCCGTGCATTCGTTCGCGTGTCCTGCTCAGATGGGGGGAGGCCAGGGAGACGGGGGAGGGCCCCGTTATGTGAAGGGTCTTGTTGCTTTGACCCCTGCGGACGTGGAAGGCTGTGGGCCAGACCGATGCACTCCCCAGAATTCGCTGTCAGCCAGGTTCACCCCATCCTTTAGCCATGATCATGGGCTGCAGGCGCGGTGAGTTCCACGCCTCCGCTGGCCGCGCCCGTGACAACCCACTTCCTGGAGGAGCTGGCTGTGGGAGGGGGGGCACCGAGCCCAGCCTGGGGCGGTGGGGGTGAGAGGCGGCAGAGCCGAGAGCTGCGATGCTGGTGGCTATTCACTTATTCCTGTTCTAGAACAGGGCTTGTCTCACGCAATGCCACAGCCACCCCCAGAGAGGACATTAATACTGTTATTCTGCCCAGGGGAGCTAGCAGGTGGCTAAGGAGAGCCACACACAAGGAAAAACATAAGATCATCCCTGATAGAGGACAGTGCAGGTGGAGGCATCTGGGCATATCTGTCTGTGGGCTTTGAGGGATGCATAGGAGTTTGCCAGGAGCCCCAAACACATGTCCCAGTCTCCCGATGCAGCAGGCCTTGAGCATGGAAAGGAGGACACGTGTGTGTGTGGCTTCTGATGCTGGGAGAACACGGGCTGCCTGTTCCCGGCGGAGTTCAGGTTGGGCAACTTCCGTGCCGCTCAGCAGCTGGCGCCAGACTGCGGGTTCCCAGCCCGATCCCATCCCCAGGGTTGGCAGCTTAGCCCTCCCATCCAGCTCACCCCAGGGATAGAGCTCTGCGGGTTGTGTTCCTGGACTAGGGCCTGGCCCGTGGTAGCTGCTCAATGCATGCACACGATGTGAGTAAGTGAGGGAAAGCCAGCCAGCGGCCCAGAGAGGCCCGGTGGTTGCGCAGGGACACACAGCAAGGCAGTAGCTGGGTTGGGGACCAGGCCGGGCCTGCTGTGCCCACTGAGCCGGGCGCCGGCCCCCCTCCACTCCCCCACTGGACCTCAGCTTTTCAGGGACCAGCACGGGGCACACCTGGGGCCCCCTCGCCTGGAAACTGTGGGCATATTTTCTGAGAGTGTTTCCAATGCAGAGGGGTGTCAGGCCATTAAGCCCAAGCACCCCCAGATTTCAGGGAGCAGTTGGGTGGGCCTGGGGGAAGGCAGGACCTCGGTCCTCACCCTGGGCATCTCTGGGCCTGCGTGAAAGAGGAAGGGGATGGAGAGGCCCGAAGCTCAGGAGGTGCCCATCAACCCGCTGGGCAGAGTGAGGGGCAGACACTAAGTAAAGATTGTGGGCACCAAAGGAGGGACAGAGGCAGGCTCGGGGGGGGGGGGGGGGGGGCTCGGGTCTCTCTGAGCAGGAAGTCATTAGGCTACTTCTAAACTTGAAAACTGGGAAGGAGGGGTGGACTGTCTTAGGCAGAGATAAGAGGTAACAGCCCAGAGGCCGTGGCTGGAAGACAGCGCAGTGCCCCTGGGCACTGGGCCCCCCCGGGGCCGCTGCCAGGCAGGCCCCCACCACGCCACCTGTGTGTGTAACCCCCTCCACAGGCCACGCTGAGAAAAACATGTAGTTCTTTCCCGTAGTTTCCTCTGCAAAGGCTGGGCAGGTGGTTTTCAAACCAGGTGTCACAAACCCAGCCTGAGTTTTGTGGACAGCAGGCGTAGGCTGAGGTGGAGGGGGGGCAGGCTTAAGGACCCCCGCCCACTTCAGCGAGAGAAGGCCCGCTTGCTTGGTTGGATCTCCCGGGGTTTCAGGTAGGACTCCTTCTGGAGAAAAGCTTTCTTTCACCAGATGGTTCGAGAGCCTGCTTCTGCGGGCCCCCAGCTGGGCCTCCAGGGACCCTTACCTGGGGTCCTCACTTCCACCAAGCCCCTCGGCCCTGCCAGCCCACGGTGGTCCTGGCCATCCCTCCCACGTGGAGAGACTCCCTGTCACCTGGGCGGCGGGGCTGCCCCTGCCGAGGCTCTGGCATCAGGGGCCACACGGCGCTGGGCGGAACCCCAGGGTCCTCTCGCAGCCCCCGATTCCCCGCCTCTGCAGGTACAAAGACTACCGGGAGCCCCCGTGGTCGGAGAACAAGTACGACATCTCCAAGGACTTCTGGGCCGTCCTGGCGGCGCGGCTGGCCTTCGTCATCGTCTTCCAGGTACGCCTTCCAGGGGCCCCGGGTGCGGGAGCGTGAGGACCCGCGTCGGGCAGGGTCAGGAGGGCCGCGGGCGTGCCCACGGAGGCGTCCGTCAGCCTCCCATCCTTCTGGGCGCCGAGTTCATCGTGTGAATTGCTTCAAAGCCCTGACACTTGTCTTATTTGGTGATGCGTGACCCGGCGGATCACGTCTGAAGCCTCCCAGCCAAGGAATTCGGAAGCCTCCAGAGGCGTTTCCTAGTTAACGGAGCTCGGATTCTCCCGAGCCGGCCGGCTGCCCTGGCCGGTGGCTCGGTCGGCTAGAGCGTCATCCCACTACCCCGAGGTGGTGGGTTCGATCCCCAGTCAGAGCACGTACAGGTGTTCAACCAATGAATGATGAGCAAGTGGAACAACCAATTAGTGTTTCTCTCTCTCTCCCTCTTTCTCTCTCTCTCTCTCTCTCTATCTCTCTCTGTCTCTGAAAAAACAATAACTATAACATTTTTAAAAGAAGGCTGGCCAACATGTCGGGAGGGGCTGCTGGCAGGTTCCCTCCCTCACTTATACCTTCCAGGAAACCGAGGCCCAGGAGCTCCAAGCTGGTGCCCACAGGCAGGGGCGGGGGCGGGGCAGGGGGCAGCGCTGCCAGGTGGGCAGAGGCGGGGAGTGTTCTCCCGGGTCCTCCTTCCCACGCCCACACGCCGACTGTCCTTCCAGAACCTGGTCATGTTCATGAGCGACTTCGTGGACTGGGTCATCCCGGACATCCCCAAGGACATCAGCCAGCAGATCCACAAGGAGAAGGTGCTGATGGTGGAGCTGTTCATGAGGGAGGAGCAGGGCAAGCAGCAGCTGCTGGACACGTGGATGGAGCGGGGCCCCAAGAAGGACGAGGCCTGCAGCAACCACAGCCCCCAGGACGGCCCCGACGGAGGCCCCAATAGCCCGGATGGCGGCCCCGGCAGTGGCCCAGATGGCGGCCCCGGTGGCGGCAGCCCCGATGGCGGCCCAGACGGCAGCCCGGGTGGCCCCAACGGCCCCGAGAACCCCGGGGGCGCCCTGTAGCCGCCCCAGCGCCCGGCCGACGGGCACCTCTCCCGGGCAGGCGGCCCACCCCCACCAGGTCGGGTGGCTCCTGTGTTTGCAGCAAACCTCGAAGACCACCTTCTGATAAGACGATGTTTTTTAAAACCTTTTCTTCTGGGGTTGTTTCTCTTTTTGTTTTTCCCTTGTTTTTGCACAAAACCATTCTGCAGGGAATTTTTATCTTTACTCTCGGAGTTCATCAGAACGGTCGCTGGGACAGGGCGGCGCCCGCAGCAGAGGCGGCCTTGGCGGGCAGTCCTGGCGTCTCCCCCGCGGCGGCGGCGGCCATGAGCAGAAGTCATTACCTCCTGTGATCCCCCTGGCACCCTGACAGGCGGGCATGGCCTCCGAGGCCCTGGGTGCCACGTGGAGGGGGAGCAGAGAAGCGGGCAAGGACTGAGCCATTGGAGACCAGTTCCCTGAGACCTCGCCTGCCTCCCGGTCAGGAGAGCGAGCCCGTCCCCATCCCCTTTGCTGTCGGTTCAGAAGCAGGCACTCTGGTCGGGAGCGGTGGCCTGGCCATGTCGGCCACAGGGCGTGGGAGCGTCCAGCTTACTCCTGAGAGCCAGCGGGGGCAGGTCCTGCCGGGAGCCACACCTGCCCCCTCCCCACCCTATCCCACCCCACCCCCACGCCGGGAGCTGGCCTCACAGCTGCCCCCTTTCCTCGTGGGCAAAGACCAGCGACAGGACAACAGGCAGTGAGCGGTCACCCAGAGGCATCGGGGGGCCACAGTGGTTTCAGAGTCGGCCACAGCTTCAGGCTATTTATTGAGGGTCTGTTACTTTTTTTTTTCTCTTGTTTTTCTTTTTTCTTTTTTTTTTTCTTTTTCTTTTTTTTCTTTTTCTCTTTTTTATCGATTCTATGGTGGATTTGAGGGTTTTGTGTTTTTTTTTTTCTCCTGTAGCTCAGAGGTGGAAGGACTTTCTTTTACTAGTTAACCAAATACCGTCGAGAGGAATTTAAACTACTGTTGCTACCAAAGATTTTTATTGATAAAGGCCTCTATTTTGGTAACACTTCTCTATATTTCTACTCACAGGAACATTCCTGTTGGACAGTTAGGATTTTCAGAGCGTGGGCTCGCAGGGCGATGGGGGGGTCCACGTCTCGAGCATCCAGAGAAACGCGGGACGGGAGGCCATACACCGTGTTTGCCGTGACCTCGGGGCCGACGCGGTGCTGGCATTCCGCCCGCCGCCTGCTCTGCGGGCGGCGACACGTCCCCCGTGTGCTGAAACCGTGCCGTCGGATGCTTCTGTGTTCTCATGTATAGCAAGTTGTTTCAAACCGGGGTTTTGTATATGACTATTGTATTAAAAACGAGGTGATTACCAAAATCCTCTCGTGGGAGCCTTGTCTTTGTTAAGTGAGTGTGCACAGACCCGGAGGATGGTGGCGAGATGCGCTTCCGAATCCATGTGTGCGTGTGACACCTTCCTCACGGGACACTGTCCGGTGGCATCTGCTCAGGAAGCCCCCCGGGCTCTGCTCCGTGTCCTGAGCCCCAGGGCTGAGCTGAAAGTCTGGGAGGGACTTGGGGGCATCCGTCGTCTTTGGTGAGACACATGGAAGGCTGTTCCTGAGACTTCCCTTCTGAGTGTGTGCGTGTGCACGTGTGTGTTTGTGCATGACTGCATCTGTGTGTGCAGGGATGTGTGTAGCATGTTCATGTGTGCTTGTGTGCTTGTGCCTGTGCGGGAGCATGTGTGTGCATTCGTGTATGCAGGGGCTTGTGTGTGCACATGTGTGGGTATGTGTTTGTATGTGCTTATATCTGTGTGCAGGGGCTTGTGTGTGTGTGTGTTTATATGTGTTTATATGTCCTTGTGTCTTGTGTGTGCACACATGTGTGTTGGGATGGGAGTTGTCATGCCTTCCCAGCAGCCTCTTCCATGAGCCCCAAATCCTGACCCCTGATCCCACCCAACAAGAGAATTTGGGATTTCATGGAGCTAAACCTTCCCGCCAACCTTTCGGGGACCAATCAAGAGTCACCAATGTTTTCATGTGGGTGAGTGGGGGCACCTGCTTTTAAATCACCACTGAGGATCACCATCATATCATGAAAAGGGGGGCATTTGTACATCAAACTTCAGGGGGCAGCACACCCTGTCAGGGGGACCTCCCCTCAGGAGCCACTCAGGCAGCCAGGTCCCCACACCTCCAGAGCCTTCCCTGCCAGCCGCAGGCCTCGAGCGCCATCTGGTGCTCAGGTGCCTCCATGCAAACCACAAGTCCCTTGTCCTGGTTACTCAGGGTCAAGAAAGGCCTTCTGAAGTTTGGCACCGCATTCTAAGTCCCAAACGGAGGCAGCACCAGGGCCTCCCTCCTAGGTCCTTCCTAAAGCCTGAGGCTCATGGTGGGACCTGCCCCACTTGACAGATGAGGACACAGGGTCAGAGCAGAGTGTAGGTGCCAAAATCACAAGGCTCCTTAGCCCCTAAGCCAAGACCTTAAGAGGCTGGCACTCAGGTCCGACAGACATTCACTCATGCCCCATCCACAAAGAGCCCTGGGCAAAGCAGACCGCCCCTGCACCCGGGGGATGGCTTCCTGCAGAGGGCCCCATCTGCTGAACCAGAAATGAACACCAAAACACAATAGCTCCAGAGGAAGAAAAGGGTGCTGATGAATATACAACAGAGGGTACCACAGACAGACCGAGTTGGTCAGAGAGGTCCCTGGGGAGCTGAGTAATGAGGAGCCAGAATGTAAAACCCTGGAGAGGAAGGCAGGACAGTCCAAGCAGCGGGAATAGCCAGTGCAAAGGTCCTGAGGCAGCGGTGTGCTGGGCTAACTCTAGGAGCGACAAGGACCGCGTGGCTAGAGCGAGGGGCAGGGGAGGCCACCAGAACCAACTCACGCAGTGAGGACTGTGAGTTTGGGGCGAAGTGCCATGGCAAAGTTTTAACCAGGGCAGTGGCAGGATCTGATTCGCAGCTTAGTCTTGGCAGCTGTGGAGCGGGAGGCCCGAGAGGAGAGAGCTGCAGGAGTTGAGGTAAGCGATGATAGGCCTGAACAGGTGGGAGAAGTGGTGGAGAAGGAGCAGTGATGTCGGAAAGACTCGCCATCTCACAGGGGGAGGATTCCATGGAGACCAGCTGGCGGGGCCGGTGCCATTACTTCCCAGCGGGCACAAGGAGGCCCAGAGAGGGTCGTAGCCCTATGGTGGTCACACAGCAGGCTGCACAGCCATCTTTCACACCCAGCCCTATGGACCTAGAGCCGGGCACTTCTGCTGCTGGCCCCTGGATGGTGTGGTGGGAATGGGCAGGAGTCCATCCCCTGACATCTGATGTGGGGTTTCTGGCTGCCCTCCCCAGAGGGTGGAGGCTGGTGTGAGCTGCTCCACAGCCTCCATGTGACAGGGTCAGAATGAGTTGCTATCTGAGTGAATTTAATTTAGGAACACCAGTTAAATCCACATAAAAATCCAGGCTTGCCATTTTCTTGAAAATTCTCCCCCGCTGATGACATGGCCCCGTTTTTCACCATGTCGCCTCTCAGGTGTGGCTGGGGCCAGTGCCCTTCTCCAGATGATGCCGGTCCTCTCCACCACCTCTGTCCACCTCCCACCCTCCCAAACGTGCCCGCCCACAGCCCACAGCCCACAGCAGCAGCTAAGACTGCAGCTGCTGGAGTCACTGCCTTTCTAGATGAGCCTCAGGGCAGGTCCTTTTCCTGCGATGCAGAACCAGCTGTGAGGGTCGCTGGAACAGAGCCTGGCCAAAGTGTATACTGGGATACAGCTGTCCTCACCCCCGGGCTGGACTCAGAGCCAGGTACCCACCTCCCCACCTCCCACACATTCACCTGCAGCCTCCTAGGGGCCATGTACGTGCTCTCTAAAATGAGCACAGGTGTCGGGTGCCTCCACGCTTGGGCAGCACTCATTTACCATCCACATGGTTCTGGAGGAGCCACAGCCAAGTGGGAAAGTGATGACCCTGCAAGGAACAGACCTGGTAGGAGCAGGGGTCCAGGGCCGGGCACAGAGAAGGCACCAGAAAGTGCCAAATAAGTGAATGGATGATGGGTGGCTTGGGGGATGGATGGATGGATGGATAAGTGGATGGATGGATGGATGGATGGATGGATAGGTGAATGGGTGCATGGATGGGTAGCTAGGAGGATGGACTGATGGATGGATGAGTGGTTATAGGTAAACAGTGAATGGATACATAGATGGCAGGCAAATAGACTGACAACTGAGCTTTTCTGCCTTTGAGCTGCACAGACCTTGGAATCAACTGGCCGGGCTGTTGGCGGAGGAGTCAGGGGTTAGGTGGGAGGTAGGCGATGCCTCTGGCCCCAGACAGGCCCGCAGCCTCTGGCAGAGGAGCTGACCCCTGGAACACTGGCTTGGGCAGCACAGGGATCCCAGCCAGGTTTCCCCAGAGGGGCTGGTGTGAGCAGCCGGGCCAGGATCCTGGGATGCACCTGGGGGAAAGGCAGCTGTGAAACTGAAGCCAGACTTCTCGGCTCTGCCGATATTTATTTACTGTGATCCATTCTCCGGCCCCCCTTCACTTCACTCCCCTAACCCATGCACCCTCTCTTCCCACACATTTTTATGGACGTGGAACACAGAAAACTGCCCATACCTTAAGTGTCTAGTCAACTTCCACAAAACCACACACCTCTGTGGCCAGGACTCGGCCGCAGAATGTCATGGCACCTCAGAAGCCTCCCTTGGTGCTCCCTTCTGGTCACCAGCTGTAACCAGAGTCCTGACCCCCTGTCCTGACTTCCAGCCGCGTTAATGCTGATCCCCGGATTTGTTTATAGTGGCTGCTGCCCTCTGCTGGCTGCCTGTGGGAGCTCCACTTTGGGAGGAAAGGAGCCTGCCCATGGGCCAGGGCTGGTTTTGTCTGCTGTTGAGACAAATTACCACAAATGTAGTGGCTTCAAACAACACATGTTTATTAACTTCTAGTTCCCTAGATGAGACATCTGACACAGGTCTCACTGGGCTAAAACCAAGGTTTCGGCAGGTCCAGACCCGTCCCATAATCTTCAAGCCAGTGTTGGCAGGGGGTCCTTCTCACACTGCCATCTCTCTAGTTAGACTGCACCAAAGGATACCATCGGCAGAGCTAAATGGCAGTTCACCAAATGGGAGGCCATGTTTGCACCTCCTATATCTGATGTGAGACTCATATCTGGGACATACGATTCCCTCTCTTCATTGATGTTTCCCTCTCTCTCCCCCTCTCGCTTTCTCTCTGAAATCAATAAAAATGCATTAACCATCACAGCACCATCTGTCTGCGGAATATTCCCAAATTCACATCGCTGCCTAGATCTCTGTCCCAAACCCTCTTTCTGTATATCCCACTGTCAGGTCAACATGTCTAATAGGTCCTTCCCCAAACCCATCCACCTCCCCAGGTCAGTCAATGCTCAAGCACCCTCAGTTCCTCTTGTTTATGTGCACCCCAAGATCTGAAAAGGGCCTCACCCCTGCTATGCACTCAGTCCAGGGACTCTCCTCCCTCATCAGGATTAGTGCAGAGTTCTCCGTGGCTTCTACTCGAGGGCAGAACGATTCCTTAAAAATATTACGCAGAGCCTGGCTGGCGTTGCTCGGTGGGTTCAAGCATTGTCCCTCTATGCCAAGGTTGTGAGTTCCATCCCAGGAGTCAACCAAGGAATACATAAATGAGTAAAACAGCAAATCAACATCCCTTCTCTCTCTAAAATCAATAAATTAAAAATGTTTTAAATATATTAGTTCATAGCAGCATTATTCATAATAGCCAAAAGGTGGGAACACCTGGGATGTCCATCAGCTGATGACTGGTGAACAAATGTGGTCCGTCCGTCCGTACATGGAAGACTTCCGACCCGTAAACAGGAACCAACACAGACACCAGCTCCATCGTGGATGAACCTTGAAGACATTCTGCTCAATGAAAAGGAAGCAGGTTCCAGAGGCCGCGCGGTGCGTGGTTCCAGTTGTATGAAGTGCCCAGAGTACGCAAATCCAGAGACAGCAAGTAAATTAGCAGCTGCCAGAGGCTGAGGGGAAGAGGGGGGAAGGAAGTGGCTGCTAATGGGTGGCAGGTTCCTACTTTGGGCGATGAAAATGTTCTAAAATTAGCTAATAGACAATCTTATGAATAGACTAAAAAACCAGCGAATTGCAAACTTTTAAAAGGGTAAGTGGTATGGTATGTGAGTTATCTCTCATCACACACACACACACACACACACACACGCTGAGTGGCCAGATTATTATGATCTCTGAACGCATAATAACCTGGCCACTCAGTGTACATCTCTTGAGTCCCTCATTTATTTGATATCAAAGATACTGTAGATCATGCACCTGATCAGTTTTCCCCTTTGCACTGGCTGATAAAAAGCTCCGGGCAAATAGATGAGCTGATCTCTAGCAAAAGTCTAGAATACTTTTGGTACCCACTTGAGATACAAATACACTGAGTGCCCAGATTATTATGCGTTCAGAGATCATAATAGTCTGGCCACTTGGTGTATATTCTTTTCTTTTTTCTTTCTTTTTTTTTTTAATGTAACTCAAATTCCTTTGCTTCTCACACACTCTGCAAGGGCTCCATCTCAGCAGAAAAGCTGATCCTTAGGGCCCTCTCCCTGACCTTCCCTTGCCTTCCTTCAGCCCCCCCATCCCCACCCCCACCCCTGCTCCAGACCTGTTGTTCTCCCTGGGGCTCCTGGAACCTGGCCATCCCTTGTGCCTCAACTCAGCTCTGCCCCGTCCCCCTCCACCCCTACCCCCTCCTCTGCCCTTCCCCTTCCCTCCCCCCCCCCCCCCCCCCCCCCCGCAGCTTTGAACTTCTGCACTTGCTTTTCTGTGTTTTGTAAACTAGTGTACTGATGACTAAGCTCTAGCAGGCAGGGACTTCCCGAATTTGGTCCCAGCACCTATTGCCTGGCTCACAGTAGGCGCTCAATAAAGGCCTAAAAAGCATTCAAAGCATCAATGACTGCAACTTTAAAAAACAAATATCCATTAAAGCTAACCGCCTAAATAAACCTCTGAGTAATCTTTTCCGCACACAGGTGCCCAGGGGCCACTAAAGGACATGCACCACCACCAATGTCAATAAATAAATGAATTTATCATCAGCACCTGTACTGCCACATTCCACAGGAAACGCAGGCCCGCCCTCCCACCCACAACCGGGGTCTCGGGAGTTCCAAGGCCATAGGTTTCCATCAGGAGGGAGAAGGTCTGAAGGGCGCAGGCGCAGAGGCCGCCCCAGCCCACGCCCGTACCCTGCCTGGGGCGCCCTCTGGAGGCGACGGCGCGTCTCCCAGGCGGAAACGGCTACAGTCGGGTCCCGGGCGCATGCGTGAGTCCCGCAGTTCTCGCGAGGCTCCGGAGTTCTCGCGAGACCCCTAGGAGGCCCTATGCGGACTTCCGGTGTCGAGGTCGAAGCGCGGGGTTTGTGAAGAGGGACCCCGAGCGGCCCGAGTCCCCCGGCGCAGGCCGGCGGGCGGGCGGGCGCGCGGACGGGAGGGCGGCGGACCGAGACTGGGGGTGGCGAGCCGGAGCGGGGGACGCGCGAGGTGGGCCGGGTTCGGGCCACGCCCGTCCAGCGGCCGCCACTATGGACCAGTTCCTGGTGCTGCTGCACTCGGTGTCCACCGGCCTGACGAGCGGCGAGCTGACCGAGCTCAAGTTCCTGTGCCAAGGCCGCATAAGCAAGAGGAAGCTGGAGCGCGTGCAGAGCGGCGTGGACCTCTTCTCCGTGCTGCTCGAGCAGAACGAGCTGGACAGCGAGCACACCGAGCTGCTGCGCGAGCTGCTCGTGTCCCTGCGGCGCCAAGACCTGCTGCGGCTCCTGAACGACTACGAGGCGGGCGCGGCGGGGCGGGCGGCGCCGGAGGAGCAAGGTGGGCGCGGGCCGGGGGCTGGGGGCCGGGAGGCGGAGCGGGTCTGCCGGGCGTCTAACGGTTGCCAGCTTTGAGTTTGCGTGGGTTTTCCTTAAAAGCCCCTGGAACACCGGTGACACGTGGGAGGACCAACGCTCAGAGCAGTGAACTCACCCTAGGCTGCAGGGCATGGACATTCACCCCCCTCAAGTTCAGTGTTTCTGGGGCGGAGCCCGGCTCCGTTGCTCAATAAGTGAGAAAATACCCGGAAGGAAATAGGCGTTGCTAACCTCCTCCGGGTGGGAAAGGGTCGCCGGGAGCCTGTGCTGCTGCCCGCACTTGACTTCTGCCCGTCAAGTCCGTTCTGCAGTGGTTCCTGCCCCGCTCTCAGGCACCCCCTCCGCCACCCGCACCTGTGGCTTGCAGAGGCCTCCGAGAGTAAAAGTGAAACCCAAGTTCAGGGTTTCTCAGCCACGTCATAATTCTAAAACCAGGCGGGGGCGGGGCGGAAGTGCTTGGAGGGCACCCCCTCAGGGGCTTCAGGCTGTGACCTGAAGTGGGTTATCCTGTCCCTGAACCCAAAAAAGATATTAAGAGTGACTCCATGGGTATCACTCCATAAGCACTGGTGCTTATTATTGGTGGCAAGCTGACAGCACAGCTCTGCCTAAAAGGAGATAGATTTATACATATATACACGTGCCCACACAGTACTTGACAAACTAGGACATGGGAAAACTATATCTTAAAGTATTTTCAATGGGGGAGATTGTGTGTGTGTGTGTGTGTGTGTGTGTGTTTATGTTGGAGGAAAGTTCACTAGAAGGTGAGCAGGTGTGAGGGTTGATAAGGGGTGATTCTTTGTTACTCCTTTGTAGAAGACTAGAGGACTGGTGTATGAAATTTGTGGAGAGGGGGGTCCCCTCTCAGCCCAGCCTGCGCCCTCTCCATTCTGGGACTGCTGGCTTCTAACCACACACCTGCCTGCTTGATCTCCCCTAACCGCCCTCCCCTGCCAGCCTCATCACCCCTAACTGCCTCTGCCTCAGCCCCTACCACTATGACTTTGTCCAGAAAGAGGACCAGAGGACCGGACATCTTCCAGTCAGCCTGGTCTAATTAGCATATTACCTTTTATTAGTGTAGATGAAGTAGCCTAATGCGTCAGACTGTCAGGGTTTTGCGACCTGGCTCTGCCCTGGTCTGGCTGTCTGACCTCAGGAAACTGACTGGCCTTCTCTGTGCTCGGTTTCCTCATCTGTACAAACGGCCGTAGTCTCTCTGGTTTGTAGCTGGAGATGGGAATTTGCAGGAACACTTTGTCCTCTGGCCTCTCTCCCCATCCCAGAACAGCCTTCTGTGGTCTAGAGTACCCGGCTGGTTGATCTCAGCAGTAGCGTCAGCACCTGAGGACATGGTAGCCGGGGACTGAAGACTGGTGGTCAGTCTGGGGCTGCCATACAAATCCCCACAGATTCCGTGGCTTAAAGCAGCTGAGCTTGATTCTCTCACAGTAGGCAGCCAGAGTCCAAAGCCAATGTGTCTCAGGGCTGTGCTCCCTCCGCGGGCTGTGGGGGTAGTCCTTCCTGCCTCATCCTGCTCCTTGAGTCTCTGCCTCCATGGTTACATGGCCTTCTCTGTGCGTGTCCTATGAGGACACACATCACTGGATTTAGGGCCACCTGCATAATCCAGGATGTCCTCATCTCGAGATCCTTAATTACAACTTAATTACATCTGCCAAGACCCTTTTCTAATTAAGTTAACATTTGTGGTTCCAGAGAGCTGACACGGATGTATCCTTTTAGAGGCCATGGTTCAGGATGGGATGGGGCGTGGCCCTATTTCCTTCCTTCTGAGCACCTCCCAGCCCTCTCTTCAGGGTCCCCTGTCCTAAACAGATAGTGCTACCACAGCCCATCCTAGCCACCAAGTCTTCAGCAGGCCACACCTCCATGTTTTGGGGTGGCATTGGTTTGGATGGGATTAGAAGTCACGGTGGGCTTTCTGTGACCTCCAGCCCCTCTGCTACCAGGTGACTTCAGCTTTGCAAAGAGGACCTCTGAGGTGGTGCCTGTTCGGTGCTCAGAAGTGAAGTGATCGCACAGTCAGCTCCTCACTCAGTCCTGCTGAAGGTGTGGGGGCTCAGGAAGGACTCTGCTTCCTGTGAATCCACAGTTCTGGTGTATGCAGCACTTGGGTCAGCACAGAGAAGCCGCCCCAAACCTCTGGTCAGCCGTTTTGTTCTTTCTTTCCCCAGACCTTTGTGCAGCATTTGACATCATATGTGATCACGTGGGGAAGGACTGGAGAAGACTGGCTCGTCAGCTGAAAGTGTCTGACAGCAAGATCGATGCCATCGAGGTGAAGTACCCCCGGAACCTGACCGAGCAAGTGAGGGAGGCGCTGAGAGTCTGGAAGAGCACCGCAGGGGAGGGAGCGGTTGTGCCCCACCTCGTGGGGGCGCTCAGGGCCTGCCGGCTCAACCTGGTGGCAGACCTCATTGAGGAGGACCAGCAGGCCCGCAGCCTCCAGCGCGAGGACGAGAGTGGGAGCAGCTCTGTGTCCCTCGGGTCCTGGGACTTGGACGCATCCAGCACGAGAGCCTCCTCCTGACCCCGCTGCTCTTCTCCAGGGACCCCTCCACCGAGCCTGACCGGGGCTTCCGCGCGCCTGCGCTGTGAAAACCTCGCAGTGAGCCAGGACAAGGGACCCCAGCGCTCGCTCGCCCGGCCACAAGCATCTCCGCCAAAGCGCTGACTTAGCACACGCTGTGTGCCAGGTGGAGCTTCGGGCCTTTACCCATTCATCCATTCATTCTTCCTGATCACCCTGTGAAAGGGAGTCTCGACTCCATTAAGTGAGTTCCTGCAGAGGGATTTTGGAACCGTACCAACACATAGAAGGAATCTAACAGCGGTTGTTACTTCACCATTCTCCGAAGGGAGGGAGGGAGAGAGCTCAGAGTTAAGGCTCACTGGACAGAACTGGGGTTGGAGCCAGCAGAGCTGGGGTTGGATGCAGTGTGCCAGCTCAGAGCCCACTCTGCTCGTCCTGTGTGCATGTGCCCCCAATGAGGCTATCTGTGCAGACGGTGTGGGCAAGAAGCACCCCTGCTCCAGCCCCAGCCCTGCCCCTGCGGGAGCTGTCTCCTCAGAGGTGGTGCCTGTTCGGTGCTCAGAAGTGAAGTGATCGCACAGCCAGCTCTACACTCAGTCCCGGAAGTGTGGGGGCTCAAAGCCTGGAACTCATGGAAGGACTCTGATTCCTGTGAATCCACAGTTACTAATGTATCAAAATCACTGTTTTTCTGGTAACAGAATTGGCAAGGGAAGGGATAATTTTAAAAAGCAATCTTCCTAGCTCTACAGTAATCCTACTAAGCAAATGCTTTATAGCAGAAATCTCCCTGTTACAGGTAATTTTCCATTTCTATCGATTTTATATCACATGTTCTCAAGAGTCCCATCTCAGCTGATCATGGTCTCCCTCGAAGCTCATCCTGTGACTGGCCACATTTCCTCACAGTTGCCCCACCTCTGAATAGGGGATTGTCACCCTCAGGAAACGGGGGTCTGTGGAGGGCAGCGTTCACTGCTTGGGCCCCGCCTACCTCCAAGAGGTACCCGGGTGCCAAGTGGTATGCCTAGTCTGGGCCTTCCAGCTGTCACCTTGGACCAGCCACGTGTAGTGGGATGTCACGCATGCTGCCTCACTCTGGCTGCTGAGGACCTCACCACTGCCCCCGCTCTGCAGGGACCCAGCCTTTGAGCCCCCACACCTGCAGCAAATACTTCCTGTGCCAGGAGCTGGGGCCACAGCAGCACACAGGATAGAACTGGCCCTACTCTGTTCACCCCGAAAGCCTGCCCGGAGCACAGGTGTTCACTAGCCCATCCCAGGTGTGGGTGCTGCCAAGAAGCTGAGCTGGTGGTTTCAGGCCCACACAGCCCGGCCCGGCCCTGTGTTAATGCTGCACACCCCCACCCACCAGCGCACCCTCCGCAAGCCTCCAGGCCAGGCCCAGTTCTGTGGACAGCAGGCGTCATCACTGTCAACACATGTGAGTGGCTCCCGAATGAGAAGATTTGGGAATTGAGTTTTCTGGGCAGTGTGTCCGTATTTCTCACCCAGAAATAGGTTTTAGAGGTTCTGCCATTCCTATGATTTGTGGTGTCCTCTGCTGAAACGGGGAAGTGTGGAGCAGTTGGCAGCAGCCAACCTCTCCCACATCCCAGCCCTCCATCATGCCAGTTGCTCCAATAGAGGCTTTGACGGGCGTAGTTGCTGTACCCCAAATTTCCCAGTGCCTGGGAGAAAGAAACAGGCTCAGTCCTCAGCGCTGCTACCAGCTTGCTCCAGTGGCCCATCACCCAGTGAGGCACTGACATCCCAGGACTCCTGTCCCTGTGGTGAGGGAGAAGGGTCCTAGCTTTGGGGCAGCCACACGTCACCCCCTGTGTGATCTAACTGCACTCAACGCTGGGATCTTGAGTTGTCAAACTCGGAAAAGGTGATGGGTGGCAAAATGCTTCCAAATGATGCTCGGCTGTGTGTGCCACCAGGTCAGTGCCGTAGAGTGGGATGAGCTTGCAAGAGAATCTGGCCCCTGAAGATGAGGCTTCGAGCCAGATAGAAGCAAGCACTCGATCGGGGGCTTCCAAGGAACTGCCACCAAGCCTGGCGGTGAGATCTGGTTGAATAGGACACACAGCCTGTCCTTGAGATGCACAGTGTCCCCCCATTTTGTAAAACAAGGAAACAAAACATATGCACACAGCTTGTACAAAGCACAGATGGGCACAAGAAGTAACATGTTACACAGCAAACATCTGGGAACAGTTACTTCCTAATGACAGGGTTTCTGTATTTGGGTGTTTTCCACATTTTCTTTGATGTGTGGGGTAACCTGGACTATTTGGTGGGGTATTCTGTCCCCGGAGAGCATGTGGCTCAAGTTTGACCCAGGTGGTGAAGGCTGCCTCCAAGCGGAACATTCTGGGTCTTTCTGTAGCCTCTCCTGAAACAGACAGGACTGATGTCCAATCAGAGCCATGGCTTTGCAGGGCAGTTCCACCCACCCTAAGGAGGGAGCTGCTACAATTTTTAGCCAGGGAGTTCTCATAGTAACCTATGTGCCTTATTTTTTGCAATCATGAACTTGTATGTTTCTAATAAAGGTATAGACAAGTCAACTTGAAAGCTGAAATGAAGGGCATGTTTTGCTCTCTTCACCCTTTTCCCCTGAAAAAGAGGGAGGCCAGTGTGTGTCCCAGACTTCGGGCCAATCAAGGGGAATTGGATCAAGTGTCTCCGGGAACAAAGGGTCCATGCCCTGGTCTGCCCACCCCTCCTGAGTGCTCTGGCTTCACACGCTCTCTCCCCTTCACACCACAGCCACTCCCGCTCTGGACACACGGAGCTCTGTCAGTCACCTCACCTCCAGAGTCACCAGGCCCTCATCCACTGTTTCCTCCCCACCCACTGGCCTCCGTCCTCACGGCATCTTCCCAGCGCTTGCTGAGGTTGCAGTTGGCAAACTCATATACTTGTTCAGTCACGCTCGGCCTCCAGGCATTGACTTCTCCTGACCATTCTCCGTGAAATGCTCCCGGTTTCCTCCTTCCGCCGCCCGCTCCTGCACACCATCTCCCAGCACCACTTCAACAGCCTTGGTCTCACTTTCCCAGCTCCCTGGTTCCTTCCAGGTCTTTTTCTAAAACACCAAACACATTGTTTGCTGCCAGGGGTGACACCTTTTGTCACGCAAGAGATATTCCCAGGTTCTGGGGATTAGGACTTGGGCACCTGGGCGACAGGCATTTGGCCAGCCACAAAACTCAAGCTCAACATCTTCCCTTCCCCCCAACCCCCCTTTCCTGGCCAGTGCCTAAGGTGCAGACCCAGGACTTCCTGTCTAGGGCCACCTGTCCCTGTATCACAGCACCAGCCCCTCTAGACCAGACTACCTCACAAGCTTTTTCTGCTGCCCCACCCCCCCGTGAGCCTCATCTCCTCTAGAAAGCTCAGGGTCTTCTTCCTGCCCTTCCTCCCCTTCTAACCCACCCCCCAACTGCAGAGCTCTCCATATATTCTTTTTATTTTAACATTTTTTTTATTGATCTTGAGAAAGAAACATCAATGTAAGAAAGAAACGCCAAGTAGCTGCCTCCAGCATGCCTATTACCCCTCCCCCTCCCCGGCAGGGGATCAAGCCCCCATCCTGGGCATGTGCCCTGACCAGGAATGGAACCAACAACCCTTCAGTGCACGGGATGACGCCCAACCATCTGAGCCACACTGGCCAGGGCCCAGAAGGTATTTTTAGAGCTGCAAGCTCGCTACACATTTTTTTGTTTTGTGTTTTTATTTCCATGATAACTATTCTGAGTCATCCCTCAGACCGCTTTCTAGCCACAGGGTTGCTGTGTGCATTGTGTCTGGCTCTGGACAGGCAAGCATGCTGGGGACGCATGTGCTCATGAGAAATGCCCAGTCTCCCTCCGCCTGGGGGTACAAAGGCAGAACTTGTCTCTCACAGGGAAAATTTGCAATGGAAATCCATTTTCATCAAAGAGGCCCTCAGTTTTTGAGTCTGACTAAATCAAGACACAGGCCAGAGGCACACGTGTGTACCCCCCACATTGTCACCAAGGCACAGAGGCTGACTCAGTAGGTGAGTGGGGCCCTCACTCAGCGGGAGCCACGTGATGTGTGGGTGCAGGTCTCCTGGTTGGGTTGAAGGAAAAGCCATGGGCCATTTGTGTCACCCCACACACCCAAGAGTAGACACGAGGTGACAGCTCTGCCCCACCAAACCTCACCTGCTGCTCCGCAGCACAGCTGCTGGGAGATGACAGTTCGGGGGATGGAGAGTGGCCATGTTGGCACAGCACTGTGAGCATGCTCGGTGACGTTTAAACATGGTTGAAAGGGTTACATTTTGTGTCTATTTTACAGCAGATAGAAAGTCATTCTTCATGTTAAATTAACCACCTAATTACACTACTGGTCTACATTGTGTCCGCTTTGTAGGCATCCCTCTAATTTGTCCTTTTATTGAGCTGTAGTTTTGAGAGCTGGAAGCAGAAGCCTCCATCTGGCCTTCTGTTTGTATGGATCACAGTAACATCATTACAAGTAGAGCCTTGCTTGTCACTGAGTCTGGGCCAGTGTCAGTGCTTCCAGCGGGGTTCCCGGCTGGAGGAACTGGCTCCCAGGACACCCAGGCCCCTCAGGACCAACGCTAGTCAGCAGCATCATGATGCCAGCAGTGCCCGGCAGTCTGCCCAAGCCGTTACCCCCTCCACCTGCCTTCCGACAGCAGCTTTGCCCAACCCCACTACCCTCCTGCCCCCGTCCCGCCCCACCAAACTCAGCTCCCTAAGCGCCACGGCCTACAGCTTCCTCTTGGCTGCTGCTTCCAGCACCATCCGGCAGCTCTGCAGGAAAGGCTTACGTGGGTTTGCTGAGTGGATGAATAAATGAACTGCAATGGTAAAAGGCCAGCACAGGTGTCCCCAGGGGTCCAGAGTCTCCTGCAGGCAAGAAATCATGCCATTGGGGTGTTTCAGATTCCCAGGGTGCTTTGCTTTTCTGGGCTTGGGACTGATCAGGCTCTGAGATTCCTGCTGGGGGAAGGAGGGGGACAGGGAGGGAAAGATGCAGGCAGGCCATCACCCACTGATGCCCAGTGCCCCAGCCAGCACTCCCTGTGATGACCAAGACCCAGAATCTGCCCTTCACACCACCTAGTCCAAGCAGGTCCAGCCAGGGACTTGGGGAGCTGCCCTCCTCCCAGGCAGGGTGGATGCCACTTGCCCATACTCGGGAGCACACACTCCTTTGCTTTGGATCCATCCACCCACTCACCCATCTCTTCATCTACCAACGCAAGCATTCATTCAGTCGATTCTTAGCAAAGGGCTCAGCCTGGGACTGCCCACTTCACCTCCCTCTAGCTGGGTGACCCCCCAGTGAAGCCCCACCTCCCCAACCACCATTGCTCACCTGATAGGACCCTCCCTCTCCCAGGGCTGCTGAGATGAGGTGTGGTTAGTGGCTGTACATTGTAAAGGCCACTAAATGTCATTATCTTAATTCCTGAGTGAGCACACGTTTTAAATCACTTACCTTTACAGCGTGCTGGTATGAACTCGTAGAGCGCATGTTTATTTCCAGAGACTTTCATGGGCCCTGGGTAACACCCTGCGGAGCACGTGACCCAGGCCTGGCTGGCAAGCTTTATGGAGATTTTTATACATAAGGAAAGGGGACTCCTGTCATCTGGCCCCACGGATGGTGTTTGCAACCCAGACTACAAACCAAAGATTATGGGAAGAAATCAATGTATGTGGATTGACCAGACCGGGACACTACCTCATCTTTCTCAGCACAGACCAAAATTCAAGGAGCCAAAAAGACCTGGGAGACCGTGTAGAGGTAATGGATAACAGCAAGGCAGATCTCATAGACACCCAGCGAACCACACCTCCAGGGGCGTGGCATTGCCAGGAGGCTGGCTCTAGAGCTGACTGGCCAGGTTTAAAGCCCAGCTCTGCTACTTAGTGGCTGTGTGTCCTTGGGCAAATGAACTCATCTACAAAGTGATGGTCCCAGCACCTCCCTCCTAGGACCCCGGGAGGATTCTGTGACTTGTTCACAGAGCAGAGGGTAAGTACACAACTAAGGACACATCAGTCCCTTGTTCCAGGGCCGTGGCAGTCACAGCGACCTTTATGTAGCCATCAGCGGAGCCGAGCCGAGAGACAAACATCACTGAGTGGCTGGATCAGCTTGCTCTGCTCATGTGACACACGCCTAAGAAATGCATACCCAGAGCCCTCACCTCATCCCCACAGTTCAGAGCTGGCCCAAAGCTAGGACCCGGGCAGGGCTCAGTGACCCCATGGCCCGGGCTGGAGCAGCACAACAGAAGTCTCTCGCTGGCGTGGGTGGCAGTGCCAGCTCACAGGTTCCCTGGGGCGCTTGCCCTCCTGCAGCCCGGGAATGGTCTGCTGTCCTTTAACAACTCGCTTTGCTGCATCAACCACTCCAGCCTTCGTTGTGCAAGCCGGACCTTGATGAGTTTGATTTTGTCCCAGGAGTAAGGGACAGGCCCTGAGGAGGTGCTGGCAGGGGCCAAGGCGGTCAGATCTGCTGCTCTGGCTGCAGGGACTGGAGGAGGGGAAAGGGAGTGGATTCATGGCTACTGGAATGGGCCGGGTGGGAGGGCGATGGAGGGGGCTGGGATAGTGCGTGGTGGTAGAGGGAGAGCAGGCACGAATTCCAGGGTATTTGTGGCCTGTCATACATATGGGGCAAGAGTGGGGGTAATCTATCAGGTCACAGATGGGGCGAGGACCGGAACTCAAGCCCATGCAATTTCAAGGACACCTCACTGTGTTTCAGAGAAGGTGCCGAGAGGTTCAGGGCAGGAGGTGGTATCCTGAGGAGGAGGCCCAGTGGCTGGGGTGGGATGGGGCCGCCCAGAAAGGGATGCTGGGTTCTGATGACGCTGAATGGGACGGGCCCTCGGGACTTCCACAGAAGGGGTCCCCTGGGCAAGGAGGTGCCTCACAGGGTTGGAGTGAGAGCTTCAAGAGTGCGGGTACCTGCTGGTCAGGAGAGGAGAGCGGGAGCACCTATCCTCAAGGAAGAGAGAATCTTCTGGAAATGTGTTTAAATTGCCCAGGCCCAGGCCCCACCCCCACGGAGTCTGATTCAGCCCCACGCAGAGCCCTGAAGTGGCCCCAGCACTACAGGGGGCGGGGTGGCCATTTCCTTACCAACGTGAGGTACACTAACTGCCTGGCTCTAACCTGGCCTTCCCCCTCAGCATGGGCAGGGGCTGGCTTTTATCTGGATGGAGCCCAGGCCTGTGGGGTGGGAGCCCGGGCCGTGGGGGGAGGGGTCCAACAGCTCCAGCAAATCCAGACTTCTGGTGGTCCTGTGGGATTCCGTTCCCTAGGGGACAACTCCCCCCACTGCCAACCCGAAGCTCAGGGGACAGGGAGAAGGCAGGTGGTGTCGCGGGCCAATCCAAAGCTCAGAGCTGAGCCCTCAGCTGAAAGCTGGCCCTGCTCCAGCTGGAAATGACGCAAGTGGTGGATTTGGTGTTTTTGTTTTTGTTTTGTTTTCTGGTTAATCCAAGAGGCTCTGTCATCCAATTTGTAAAACAGCGGTGGGGAGCGTGATTCACCTTTCTTTTGCCCCTCTTCTGGAGCTCAGGGAGAGGCGAGAGGCAGGGGGGTGAGGAGGGACCGTGGGCCCCCGCTGACACCCACTGAGTCACCACGCTGGGTGCCTTCTAACTGCTCGCCCAGTGCCGCCAGCCCAAGGAATGTGGGCACTCACTGCTCACTGGCATGGAACCCCCACGCCTGCATTTCCTATGAGTAAAGTTGGGGGTGCCCCGCCTTTCCCAGGACAGAACTTGACACACCAAGGAAGGTAGTTGCTGATTTATTACCATTGTGGGATAGTAACTGCCTTAGGCTCTGGGGAGGAAGGACAGGGCTTGGGAATGAATGCAGGTGGTACCTGATGTTCAGGAGTTCCAGGTCTGGCAGGAGGCACAGGAAAACAATGACCGGAGAAACGAG